GCTTGTGCCAGCCACTCCAGAACCACCAAGCAGTTCAGCCTCTGAGCTCACCACCAGTTTTTTGCCCCCTTTATCCTTTTTTTTTAATCCCCCCCAGCCCCCGCCAAGAGATTGTGAAACATGCTCTCCAGCTTGACAGCTAGTGACAGCCCCTTCAATGTCCCAGCTAAAACATTGCATGGGCTGGAACTAGTTTGTTACTGCTTTAAAGAAAATATGCAACAAACTTCCACTGTTTTCAATTTCTATTTGTACTCAAACATGTGCAGGCCCCGCCTTGACAACGTCTGTGGAAGTGTCCGTTATCAACGTGCGACAAGCACTCACCAGCGGCCCAGAGAGGCTGGTGGGGGCATTATTGTCTACCTTGATTTGTCTCGGCAGCTGAGCGTGATCTTTGCTTGTGAAAAGGGGTCACCACTAAATCACGAGATCCTCAAGGGGGATCAGAGGGGGGGTAGTTCTTCTGGGGGCCTTTTCCTTTTCCACTCTTTCCTAGAATTCCAACTGCTTGGGAAACAGGAACAGTGCGAGCTTCCTCTTTTAAGGGAAGCTGAAGGAACTCCATTTTCTTTTAAAAGGGTTGTTTTTGACAGGGCTGTTCCTGGTTATTTCCTAGGAGTAAAGCTAAAGGTTCCCCCTTGACATTAAGTCCAGTCATGCCTGACTCTAGGGGGTGGCGCTCATCTCTGCTTCCTAGCCGAGGGGGGCCAGCGTTTGTCCGCAGACGGTCTCCATGGTCATGTGGCCGGCATGACTAAACACCGAGGTGCTCGGAACGCTGTTACCTGCCCACCGAAGGGGTACCTTTTTATCTACCTGTATTTGCATGCTTTCGAACTGCAAGGTTGGCAGGAGCTGGGACGGAGCAACGGGAACTCACCCTGTTGTGTAGATTCGAACTGGCGACCTTTCAATCAACCAGCCCAGCAGCACAGCAGTTTAAATCACTGCGCTACCTGCAGTCCCCTTCCTAGGAGTATATACAGGCATAATAAATACATACTTTTTAAAGGAGTGTTGGACTGAATGTGGGAGGCTGCGGTTCTGATTCCCACCTGCCCTGAAGCTCATTAAGTAACTTGAGACCAGTCACTCACTCTCAACCTGACCCTCCTCACAGGGTTGCTCTGCAGATGAAATGGAGAATAGGATCACCATGTAGGCCTCCCTAGGTTGCTTGAAGGGTCAGGGAAGATATAAATGTAATTTTTTAAACATAAATATGACAGTGTTAACAAACATTGATGTAAATCAGGAGTCGAAGAATAAAAAATTGAACATTCTGTTGAAAAGGAGAAAATGAATCTGAAAGGAGCTCCAACATTTCTCACTCTCTACTGAAATTCCACTGGCACAAAACTTAGGAGCAGTCTGGTTTTCCTTGGGAACAGGCAGGCACAAGTTTCTCCAAAAAACAGCTCACCCTCCTGGACCCCAACTTGAATCCTTCTCACGCTCTTCATTTCTTCATTCCCCTTCCAAAAATGCCAGCTTGCCCCCTTCTGTTTCTAAGCAAACATCTTTCTCTCCCTTCTAGAGGCAAGACTCCACTTTTGACTAAGCGTTGATCGTCAGAAGCAAACATGACTGTGCCACTTTTCAGTTTGTCTCGTTTTACAAGCACGTTCCAAGAAAATAGAGAGGGTGTGGGGCAAATGAGCAAGCACAATCCTTGGCTCATCATGGAGTCCCTTTCACTTCTGTGTAAGCCAACTTGTTACTAGGATTTCATCAGTCAAACCCCAGCCACTTCATACATGATTGTGACAAACTTCAAGCACTAGAAAATTACCTATCTAAAAAGCAAGAGATAAGCAAGGGTTATCAACTCTCCTTAGGTAAATTAATTAGTGCCATGAGGGGATAATGACAGCAATTTGTTCAACCTCACTCCTCTGATCTGCAATATGGGAATAATGCCAACCTACCTTACAGGACTGATATACAGAAGACAGCAAGGGAAAAAGCCATTTCCCTGAAACCCCTGCAGAGTATCTTCCAGTCTTTGCAGATAGACAGTCCTGCTCCAGATGGAGCAATGACCTGACAGCCTGTGCTCACGTGTACAAGCACGAACCTTGGTCAAGACCACCACTGAACAGCTTGTACTAAAGTTTGGTTCCGGAATCTGTTTTCTGTAACCCTGGAACATCTGGAGCAGGACAAAAGGGTTTCCCTGAACAAGTGCAGGGCAAATTCCCTCCAAGTGTTGGTAACCAACCTTCCCATTGGCCAGGGATGAAGCATGGCTGGAGAACACTAGGCTGGGAGAGGCTGATCAACATGAAACAGCAGGAACTAAGATTTGAGTCGATGTGCTACCAGGTTGCAGGCCACACCACTCTTCCTTTTCCACCAGGTGCTGATGATCTGGGTCCATCCTTGGGTGCAGGAATAGGCTGGACAAGAGTGCAGAAACTGGGATGCAGCCCAGGTAAGATGGAGGTGCTGTTGCAGGATGACCCATCCCCCTGGGCAAATGATGTTCAATCCCTCTTGGAAACAGGATCGAACTTTGGGGCTTGCTGAGCCAGGTTTGCCTGCAGAGCTGCCTTCCCTAGCATGGATTAGTTGCAAACAGCCCTCTGCTGGCTGGAGGAATCTAGGAGTTGGAGTCCAATGCATCTGGAGAGCATCAGGTTGGGAAAGACTGCTTTAGGGGCTTGGGAAAGCCTTGAAGCTCAAAGTGCCTTTACCAGTTGTGGCTGATACACTTGTGGCAACCACACCTGGGTGAAAAACATTTTGACATCTGTGTTCTGGTAACTTCCCATTTAGGCTTTTGTTCATGGGCATGCCTTGGTCTGGAAACTGCCCTTGGTCCAAAATTAAACTGCTAGATGAGGAAGTTGATTATATTACGTCAGTGTCTTATCACAGCTGCACTGTCTCCTAGTCAGTGTCCAGGACCACTTTAAAGGGCTGGCCTTAATCTATAAAGCCCTTAGTTATGGCCAACTTGTGGCCCTCCAGGTGTTTTGGCCTTCAACTCCCATGATCTCTCACTACTGGGGATGCTGGCTGGCTGGTACCTGCAGAACCTCAAGTTGCCCACTGCTGCAACAGCTTGGAAAAGGTTTACCTGAGAAATCATCTCTCTGTATATATGTACCCGGACCTTAAAATTCCTTGCAGTGCCCCTGCCCCAAGTAACCCTACCAAGTGGAAGAAATGGTTGACTATTATAGGCAGGGCCTCCTTGCTTGTGTCACCCCAACTGTGAAACACCTTTCCCAAGGAGACTCATCTGCCACCTCCTTTATAGTCTTTTCAAGCGGTGGGGGCAGCTGATTCTGTTTTTGGCATCAGGTGACGATCTTCATATTCACCCTGGCCTTTTCAATGTGTTTTTATAAAATAAGCATTCAATACTTTTGTTCTGTGACCTGAGCTCCTAGAGTTTTTTCCTCCTTGAACTGCTAGGAAGCTTTAAAACTGTTTTACAGAAGCGGTTGTGTCATCATTGCATCATGCCGTATGCTCTGTTGTTAGCTGCCCAACACATGTTGACGGGGAGCCCGTTAAGTCCGTGGGCTGGCTCTGCTTCCATCAGTGGCATAGCTCAAGCGTGTGAAACTGGACACCTTAAGCTTGCCCTGCTCAACAGAGAGTCTTGAGGGGTGTGCAACTCAGGGCTCTTTTGTTGAAACCCGTGACTGTTACTTAAAGCATCTGAAGGAACATCTTCAGGTACTGGAGGCAAAATTTCCTAAGCAACACACAGCTCTGAAGCCATTAGAAGATGGAGAAATGAGCAGAGGGACGGAGGGACAGCATCCTAGGCCCAGGTCTTCCCCTGCACTGTGAGGCAGCCCCTTCAGGGGAATGGAAGAAGACCCTTTGGCTTCTTACCCAACAGACACGGCTTCTCTCGGACAGGATGAGCAGATGTATCCAATTCCAACTGATGTGCACCTAATATTAAAGATGTTCTGGATCTGGCCTGAATGGCTTGTGCTTCCTCAGAGGAACCAGGAAGTGACTGCTGAGGAAGCAGCCACAGTCTAAGGCAGGGGTCAGCAGCCTTTAACACTCAAAGAGCCATTTGGACCCGTTTCCCACACAAAAGAAAACACCAGGAGCCGCAAAGCCCTTTTGACATCTAAAATGAAGATAACACTGCATATATCGTTTTTTACCTTAATGCTATGTGTATCTTCATTATGATTTAGCTGCAGCTCTTGTTCAGTCACTAAAAACTGTTATTTTTAATCTTACATTATAAACTAGGAGGATTCCTTTCATATATTTTGAATAGGAGAACAGCTTCCTACAGAGTCAAAGTCAGTGCTAAAGGGCTGCATGCATTAAACAGCAAACCCCGTAAGTTTGTCAGCAGTAAAAGCAAATTAATCTACCTACTTATCATTAAACGTTTGGTTTTCTTCAGAAACCTTTCTTCGATTTATCCATGGTTGGCCTACCAGGGAAAGTCGCAGATATAGGTGCGTTTAGTGACTGATTATCAGATAAACAGTCAAGTGCTGTGAATTGTGACAGGTCCCAAGCGCAGCTTTTAACATTCAGAGGAAGGAGATTACATTTGGACAAAGAGAATCTTTTCAGCAGCGTTTCATGTAACATGAGAGCCTGCAGGAAGCTTGCTCCACTCCTTCCCTGCACAATAGCAGAGGAATGTAGCAGTTTACTTAACCTGCTAGCGCAGCCTTCCTGAGTGGATGCCTCATCATCACCTATTGGTATTTTGAGCCTCGGTCGCAGATCCGCGGCTGTGACACATATTTTGAGCAACAGAGCCGCAGCAGAGGGATTCAAGAGCCACGTGCAGCTCCGGAGCCGCGGATTGCTGACCCCTGGTCTAAGGGCTGTGGGAAGGCTTTAAATAAAACAGGTTTGTTTGGAAGGCTCTGCCAAAGGAGTGGGCATCGTAGCTTTGCAGAGAGTGCATTCTGCCTGAAGGCTTTGTCGTGTCAAACATGCAAAGCCCCGTCTTGCCAAAGCGGAAGAGAAGCGATAGACACACAACCCATTTCTGCTTACTTTTGTATCAAAATCACTAGATGCCAACATTTATTAGTTTTATGGCCCCAGAAAATTACAGTTTAAAAACAAATGTGAAACTCATAGAAAAGAGAAAGAGAGAGAGGAAGAGAAAGCTTGCCTCTTTCAAGCAAACCAGACCTCTGTTGCTGTGGCGGGAACTGAAAGGCAGAGGAAGCTACAAGAGCGGAGGTGCAGGCAGTGGGAGTGTGTGTCTACAGCCCGGCTCCCATTCAAACCTTTCATTGACCAAAAAACAAACATTAACCTGGCCTTCCTCGAGGCAAAAGGCCACATTAACACAAACGTTCTTCCAGATGGCAAGGAAGACACTGGCGCACGCGTGCGCACACTCCCACTCACTCTCCCACCAAAAGGTGACAGCATCATTTCAAGCATAGCCAGCATCCATCCTGGTCCACACCTGCTCCGTGCCATCCATTCTTGCCAGTCCTCATGGCCAGCCAAAGGCTTGACAATTAGCCTGCCTCCTGCAATGAGGTGGACGCCCTCCAGATGGTGTGGCCTGCAACTCCCATCAGCCCCCTTGCCCCTTGGAATAGATGGAACTTGCAGGCCCCAGCATTGGCACCACCACAAGCTGCCGACCTGGCTCACATTGACTGGACGGTGCTTGTGCGATCCGCGGTCCACCAGGCTGAAGGTGGCCCACCAAAGCCTTCGTATGCCTGCCCGCTTGGGAGTGCAGAACCGAGGCATGGGTCAGCAGCTTGTTAGGGCATCTTCGGAGGCTGAGAGGAAGAGGAGGAGGGGAAGAACAAGTGATAGAACGCCTGCCTTGGTCAAATTCAAAACAGAACTGTCCTTTAGGAAAACGTTAACGTTAACTTGGCCCAAAAACAAGAAAAAGGCCACCTAAGCAAAGTTTTTTTTTTTTTCCAAGCAGGCAGCAAGCTGTGGGTGGATCACACATTCTATCATCCTGGCTGTAAGGGGGCCAAGGATGCCAGGAGCCCTGGTGCTCTTTCCCCCCTGCCCTAGCCCCCTTCTCCTGTTCCAAGAGGATCCTTCTCGCAGGCAGTGGGCCTCTCTTTTTCCCTCTCTCCCTCGAACGTATCTTGGCTGAGGACACACTTTCTTGCCTCTCTCCCCACTTTCTCCAGCGTTACATTTCGCCGAGGAGCAATCCCGCGGAGAAGAGAAGCTCCCACGTTCCAGCATGCCTGGTCCCAGAGGAGCAGCCCAGGGCCAGTGGAAGGAGGGACTGGGGAGGCCCCAGTGTTCTGGACTGGCACCTGGGCCCGGTTCAGGCCTGTGTGGCAGGGAGGCTGCTGCTGTCGGGCAAGACGTCCTGGTGGGCCTCGAGGCGGGCAAGGCGGCTCTGCTCCAAGGCAATGGCCTCAGCCGAATGCTTGCATTTCTCCGATCCACATTGGCATGTGAAGTATTTGCTCTTGATGTCCCAAAATCGGTCACCGTAGTCGAACCTACAGCCCAGGGCAAGGAAAAGGAGTAAGAGGGAGGAGCAGCAGTTCAGTGGAAAACTGCTGGATTCTCCCAACAGGGCTAGGAAACTCTGCAGAATTACCGCCAATCAGTGGAGACAATACTGGGCTGCATGGGCCAGTGGTTTGACTCAGTATAGGGCACATTCCAATGGGGATGGCAGCTTTGCCTGCCTGCTGGCTAAATATGGCTTCCATACAGCCTGAAGTGCCTGATCCTGCCTAATCTTGGAAGCTAAGCAGGGCCAGACCTGGTTCGAATCTCGATGGGTGACCTGAGTGGATGATTCTATGATACTGTTGTAAACTGCCCAGAGAGCAATGGCTACAGGCAGTAGAGAAGCATAATTATTATTACTACTGGTTTGACACTGCAGATTTGAAGCTGGCAACCACAGAGATGGAGAAAGCCACCGTTCCTTCCTTCTCCCTGGCCACCTTTCCTGCAGCTTGATCCATCTTTCACTGCAGCTGCTCCAGAGATGCGGATCTGCTGCAGATGCTTCCCGATGCCCTCCTCTCACCGTGCTTCTCCCAAAGCCCTGGTGCCCCCCCAAGTTGAGGCGCTCAGTCAGGCCCTTCTGTTCCCCCCTCAGAGCTGAGAGTGGCCATTCCCAACCTGACTGCCTGGGACAGAACGCCTGCATGCCTGCCCACTGTTCATGCTACCTAGAGCAGACAGAATTGGGTGCCCGGCGCATCTGGAGGGCACCAGCTAGAGAAAGACTAAGTATGGACCCTTTCTAGAACAAGGTCATCTTCTGCCCATACAGCAAGGCGCCTTTCCTGCATTCTGCGGCTGCAGGGCATATTCCAGCCCCAATTCCCCTGCCGCCGCCTCCTTCGCAATAGCCCAGGGGACTTGTCTCTCTCTCTCCCATGCTTCTCCATCCACTAACCCGAGCTCTTCACCAGTTTGAATGTCCCGGCTGCTGAAGAAGGCAATGCGGGGGAAACGTAGATCCTGGTGCAGCATGAACACCCGTACGGGGATGATGTTGGGGTCACACAAGTGGTTGATGAAACGGCTGACGTTGCCATAGTAACGCGCATCAATGCAGTACACCTCGCCGTCCTGCCAGTGGGGAAGGGTGTAGCAAACACAGCACTTTCACTTTTAAAACATCCACTAGTTTAACTCTTCCTCTATCCCGCTCACAACTGTGTTTAAACAGAAACCAGGACTTCTAGTTCCCTTGCTGTAAATCAGAGGTCTTGAACTTGCTTTGGCCTGGGGGACAAATTCAGCTTCAGAGAAGTTGTTGGGGACCACCTCCTAGCCAGTGTCAAAGAATTTTTGTCGGTCAATAGGACAAAAATTCCAGCTGACCATATTTTATGGCTCTCATGGCCAGTCACTAAGCCTTAAGAGAGGCATGTGAGTTTTTTTTTTAGAATGGGATGGGGGAACTACACAAAATTGCTTGGTGGTTGGGCTGTAGAGAAGGAAGTGCAACCTTCTGGTGAACCATAACAGGCTGAGCTGGGATGTCAGGTGGGTCAAATTAGGCCCCAGGAACAAGGACTCTGCACACTGGTGTAGTTTATAAAATACCTTACGCCACTGACCCCCAAGTCCTGTCCAGGTCAGTGTGAGTTAGGGAAATCTTACCTTATTGTCTAGATCGAACAAGTAGGAATCATCTTCCCTTACATCAGCTTCTGCGTCAGAAATCAGCTCCCCCACGTATCTGTGTGCCAGATGGTGCAGAAGGTGAGGGTGCAGCTGCTAGAGGGTTACTCATTCCTCAAAGTCAGGAAGTCTGTGGCCAGGGCGGGAACTCCGACACGGAGAGCGGCAGCCCTCCGGCCCCCTCCCTCACATGCGGGCGCAGAGGAAAGCTCTCTCCCCCGCCACCCCATCAGCACTCACTCGCATATGAACGTTCCCTGGGGGATTGTCTGCAGTGCTCGGACTCCCCATCCCATTTTGGCAGTGCGATAGAGCTGTAAACGGACCCTGCAGCGAAGAGAACACAAGGCGGAGAGCTGAAGGCTGCGAAGGCGTAGGAGAGTCCAAAGCCTTCCTCACCTGGAGGGCTAGATCAAAAGGGCAAGTGAAAAGGCAGCAGAGGTCGCCTCTCGTACTCCAGCAAAACCAGCACGGAATCGATCTGGCAGCTTCTTAAGTCCAAGGCCACCAGTGGCCTTTCAGAAAACTCTTATGTTTGCCCACTTGGTATAATATACAGTGCTAATTCAGGTAGATGATGGCCTTAAATATATCCTGCTACCTTTCTCCCCCGCACACTGACTTTCCAGAGGGGTAGGTGAGCTAGTCTGCTGGGGCAAAAACGCTAAAAGTCCTGTGGCACCTTAAAAATGAAGGCAAAAACGTTAATGGACTTCATCAGATGCACGGAATATTATGGGGAGGTTCTAGTGACATATATTGGGGAGGGAGAGACAGCGAGGTGGGAGCCGTGCTGCAGATGAACCTAGCCATATCCCCAGTTGTTGATACTGGATCTTTCTCTTGGTAGCAGGCCATGCCCCTCGTGTTACAAGGTGAACGAACGTAGGAACGGCCTTGCTGAATTAAATCGAGTGTCCATCACAACATCTGGGGCCGCTTCGCTTACAAAAAGGGTGAGTAAAGAGAGACGTAATTTATAGAGGTGTTCAAAACGATGTGTGGTATGGAGCAGTGAGGAGGGAGGCATGTTTTCCTTCTCCCGTAAGACTGGAACGATGTCCCACGAAGCTGATCGGTGGGAGGTTCAGGACAGGTGCTTCTTCACACAACACATGCAGCGTGGAATTCACTGCCGCAGAAGTGGCGACGGCTGCCAACCTGGATGGCTCTCAACGGGGACTGGACAAACTGCTGGAGGAGGAGGTTCTTGGTGGCTACTGGCCTTGCTCGCTACGCGCTGCTGCCTTTACTGGAGGCGCCTGCCTACGCATACCAGCAGCTGAGGAGTGGGGGAGGCAGAGGCCTTGCAGCCCTCCTGCTTGAGGGGTCCTGCGGGCAGCTGGTCTACCATGTGTATGGAGTGCTGGGCTAGGCGGACCTCGGGCCTGATCCAACCTGGCTTTTCTCATGTTCTTCAGAACAAATGTCTCGCATCTGAATCTCCAAAGGGCAGCCGAAAGATGCCTCCAGAGGCTCACAAGGAGTGAACAGCCCAGTTTCTGAACCTGGACATTTCACAGGCAGCAGTCACGGCGGAGAGCTTGTGTGCAGCAGACCATAGCTGAGGGACTTGCGACCCCTCCAGATATTGTTGGGACTCCAACTCCCATCAGCCACAGCCAGCATAGGCCAGGCTTGTGGGAGTTGTAGTCCAATGTCTGGAGGCTCGCGGGTTTTCTCTCCCAGGAATGATGTTCAGTTAGGGATTAATTCTATTCACACAACAAAAAGTGCTCTCTTGGTGTTAGACTAGCACTGGAGACCCCACTTGGGCACAAAGCTCACTCGTTCAGACTTGAAACAATATGCTGCAATTCAGTTCCCCCTCCCTGCCAGGAAGGCCCAGCTCATTCCGGGCGCTCCAGCGATCTCCAAAATTCTCTGCTTTTTGGCTAACATATCTCTTCCCAGCTGGGGCAACCGCAAAGGCAAAAAGGAAAGAAGCCCTCACTTGATGCCACTCTGTACCACGCGATTCTTGCAGTTCCTCCAGCAGGTGCAGGCCTGGTTGCATTCAAAGATCAAGGGGGGCTCAATCTTGTTGAACTCTTGCAGCAAGCGGCCATCCTGCGAGGGGAGGGACAGGGAGTGATCTCGCTACAAGCCAAATTTGTGAGTCAGCTTTCGTTAGGCCTGCCTGATAGGCTGAGCTGTCCCAGCAGCTCCTTCAGACAGAAAACAAATGCTCCTCGCACCACCAAGCCCGATCTGTTTCCAAGGTCAGCCTGAGCACCTGCAGATGGGGGCCGTGGGACAATCCCACCCTCCTCCTCCATCTCTATGCCCACACGCCTCCCTTCCCAGCCTTCCCAGTCCTCATCCGAAGAGCTGGGGCCACCCTGGCCCTGGAAAGCGTGCCAGGAATAGCTGCCTCATTGCTTCCCAAAATTCAGGGGGCTCTGGAGTTGATCGGTGGTCCCCCTGCTGGCGCATGAGCCTTGGCAGATGCGCACAGATGCCAATTCCTGCCACTGGGTCCAACCTGCACTGTATAATCCCAGCTGGAGTCACATGAAGACTGGCAGGTTTCAAGCCTGTGCCACAGCACTCCCTGCTTTTGACCCTTTTTCCTGAGCTGGATTCCCAGCACACGGGTGAGAAGAGCTCAGTTGTGAGCCCACCTGTCGCTCAATGGTGGGATGATGAAATGCAGACTACTTCCCCCTCGGACAAAAAAGAGCAACCCAGAAATATTATGCACGTACTGAATCTTGAAGCATGGGCCATGGACCCTTCTAACAGGGGCCCATGCTTCAAGATTCAGTACGTGCATAATAAATCGATTATATATTAATGATTTAAGCCGTAATCAAACAATTAAATTACAGGTTCTCAATTGCAGCATAAGCAAATAAAAATCTTGGGCTTCACAGTGTTTTTATTTGCTTATGCTACAATTGAGAACCTGTAATTTAATTGTTTGACATAGCTTCAGTGCTGCCACCTCTCCACGCTCCAGCTGCTCCAGGCGGGATCCAGGCGCAGGAGCCGTGCCACCCCCGGGAGGGATCGGGAGAAGGCACACGCCCCTTTCCTTCTGGAAATGTTTCTGCCAGAGCAGGAGAGGCAGGCAGAGGAGAGCCGGATGGAGCAACATCTAGTACCGTGTTTCCCCGAAAATAAGACCCGGTCTGATATTAATTTTTGCTCCAAAAGACACACTACGGCTTATTTCCAGGTGAAGTCTTATTTTTTCATGTACAACAATCTACATTTCTTCATGTACAAAAATCTACATTTATTCAAATACAGTCACGCCATCTTCTTCTGGAACATCGTCACACCTCTCCAAACCCCGAATTGTGTTGCAATGGACGTACTAAATGTGTCCATCTGGCTGATGATCTTAACTGGGGCTTATTTTGGGGGTAGGGCTTATATTGCGAGCAACCTGAAAAATCGTGCTAGGGCTTATTTTCTGGTTAGGGCTTATTTTCGGGGAAACGGGGTAACATCTTCCAACCACCCTCTCCCCCTTTCCCGGGGTGGACGGCGCTTCCTGTAAACGCCCGTGGGCCACCCCTGTCCTAGTGCGTTTCCCCTCCATCCCACCACCGCTTCCACCCCACAGGCAGTGAGCCAACAGGCGCCCTCCCCCGCCACACAAACGCACCTTGTCGTACCAGCAGCGAATGCTGAGCTGCCCACACAGGCAGTTGCTGGAGGAACAATCGTCCTGGCAGGTGCAGTGCTGAGGGGGCAAGAAGAGGCACCAGGTGGATGGGGGCAAGGCGAGATGGGGCAGTGGCTCACAGAGAGGTTTGGGGCGCAGAGGCTCCTCTTCCTTAGACTTGTGCTGCACACCTTTTACTTGAACAAGCAAGCTGGCATTTAGGAGAGCACCTTATGCCAGGCCCATTTACCCAATTTGGGGAGGGGGGCTAAATATTTGCCCATTTGGCCCAGTACATTCTACTCCAGCTGGCAGGGGCTCTCCAGAGACCTTTTCCACCACCTGCTCTCCAACCCTTTGAAAAACCCCAAAAGCTGGAGTTGGCGGAGGATCAACCCGGGGACTTTCTGCATGCCAACCAGATGCTCCACTAGTGGGACACCTGAAGAGTTGGCTTGGGACCGGCTTTAATCCTTGCCCATCCACTTCCTGATCAGGACAGGGAGAACCTTTCCTCGTTCCTTGCTGCCACCTGTTTCGGAATGTTTCTGATTCACCCCCTTTCATGGCCTCCATACCTGCTGCTTTGGGACGGACCAAGTACCTGCAGATGGGTGATGTTGCGGTCGATGTTCATGGTGGAGGTCTCACAGTTTTCCGAGATGTATTTGTAATCATCTGGGCATGGCTCATCATCCACAGAATTGACACAGGGAATGGGCACGTTCTCATAGCCACGGGCCACATCCCTGGAAAGGACCAGGAGGAACAGTGAAAAATACTGGGTTCTCATGCAACGGTTTCTAAATTATGCACAATGTTTTTGCTCCCACCACAATCTTGCAAAGCTGAGATCCATTTAAAAATGTCATTTAGTTGGTGCAAATTGCTGTTTTATTGTTCGGAAGCTTCCTTGATTATACCGTTATGTAGATTTCTGAGGAAGAGCATCTTTTCAACTTTCTCAGATAACATAATGTTGTGAGCCACTCAGAGAGCTTAGAGCTTTGGAGGTGGCATACAAATTGGATGGATGGAAGGAAGTCCTAGGTGGTCTAGCCACATGGGGTGGCATGCAAATCAAATAAAACGAATAAATAAATAATTGAATGAATGAATGAATTGAAGTCCTAGGTGGTCGAGTCACATGGATCTATACCACCCCAAAAGGGATGTAGAGACACCCAGCTAGGGGACAGTGAAGCCTAACACATTCTTATCCCTTTGTGCTTCCCGCTCCCCCCATCCCGGCTTCACACAAGAACGGAGATGTTAAACCTTTTTTAACCCACAGGGCCAAATTTAGTTTTGGAGAAGCCCTCCCACCATTCCAGTGGCGGGAGGGCCCCGAGATTAGAAGAAATGGGGCAAAAATGAACAAAAAACCACCAGCCTACAGAGCTTAAAGATTTTACTGCAAGTAACGATGCCCTAGGAGTGGTATTTGAAGAAAGCAATACAAAAGATAGTCCATCTCCCCACGGTTGGAGTCTGGGCAGATGGGAGTGGAGCCAGAGGGAGGAGGTAGCCATGCGAGGATCCCAGAAATTCGGACGGAAACCCAGATGGGCCAGATTTGGCACCCCCGCCCTGGAAGCACCCACCTGCTGATGATGCGTTCTGTGCGCACGGAGCGGTTCAGGATGCCCTGGCGGATCTTGCGGTTGAGCTGCAGGGCAAACCACACTTCGGAGTTCTCCAAGGTGAGGTCCACTGGGGAGTCTCCCTCCTTGTTCCGCACTTCCGTGTCTGCCCCCCGGGACAGGAACAGGCTGTGGTTGTGGTGGGTGGGGGGAGAAAGAGGTTTAGAGCCAGGCTGGCTGCTGTCCCGTCTGCCCCCGCATCGCAAGGAGGCCCCGGACACCCCGTGGCTTACAGGACACACTCGTGGTAGCTCTCCCGGGCCGCGATATGCAGAGGGGTGTCCCCATGGAAGTTGACGGCGTGGAGGTCGCACTGGGCGTTCAGCAGGACCTCGGCGATCTCCGCACTTCCTGTGAAGGAGGCCCAGTGCAAGCAAATATTCTCCTCCTGCTTGGGAGAAGGCAAAGATGTTACGGGGCAGGCAAAGGCACAGCAGCAGAGCTGGTGGTCGTCGGTCGCCATCTGACGGCTCTGCCCGCTCGTGGAGATCCTTGGGAGCTCTTGGTTGCCTTCGCATCCCACACGGGCCTCAGAGCATCACAAGCACCATGCAAGGAAGGTCGAGTTAAGAGGGGTGGGAATTCCACGGGTACGGAACGAAGGAGGGCAGATTTCAAGCCAAACACTTCCTGCCCCAACCTAGCACCAGCTGCTGATCCACCCTGAGCGCCCATTCCCTTGTGCTACCTTTAGGTCTGAAGAGCTCTAACAGAAAGTTCAGCCCTCCCTGGTGTTTTGGACTACAACATTCATAATGCCCAATGCACCCATGCTGGCTGGGACTGATGGGAGTTGTAGCCCAACACTCCTGGGGAAGGCAGAGCTCACGGAATCCTTTAAATAATGCCTTCTAAGTGATTTTCAGGGACGCTGCTGCATTAATCATGCACCAAAGAGAACTGGCACTCCACCACCACCATCTTCCCCCACACCACATAATTTCCTAGCTGGCACCTTGTTCTTCCATCTCCACCCCCTCCCTGTCATGTCATAACTAGGAGACAGAATAGGGAGGAATATCTGGATGCAGCCTGGCAGCTCGGGGCTGGTGCCGGGGCCCTTCCGGGACCTCTGCTTGCTCCTTGGCACGTTTTAAGGGCTGATACAGACCAGAAGTACCTTCCTGTATGACGGGCTGCTGAAAGTCTTTGAGCCAGGGGGCTAAATGGGAGCAGCTCCTGGGGGATGCGTCCAGTGGCTGGCAGAGCCAAAGCCAAAAAGGGGCAGGACCAAAATCCCAGCTCATTTGAGTTCCAAGTTCTTATCAGTGGCAACTAAGCCAAAGGAGAAGAACGGTCACCTTGGGGAACAGGGGAACAGGCATGCACAGAGCTGGGACTCCACTGATCCGCTGTGGGATGGGGGAAGCAGGGGCCGCCGGTGATGTGGGGAAGTGAGCAAGGACATCTGTGGAACCAGACTCGACCCCAGTGGGGACAGATTTGTTCCTCGGGCCTGGAGTCCAATCACTGTTGCCCTATGACAAACATCCTGCCCATGGTTCCCAGGAAGAAACTTACATGTAGAGACAAAAACTAAGGTGCGAACTGAACCTGCACGCGTCACAGAGCATACCTGGTGTGAACCCCAGCCTGGAAGGAGATGGACTCTGTTGGGGATTGCGCAGCGCGGGAAGCACTCCCTCTTTGTGCCACCCACACAAGCTCATCCCAAGCGGAAACCAGGGGAACCAAAACTCACATACATTGTCAGTCAACGTGACGTCGGCTCCACGGGTGAGCAACATGCGGATCACCTCGATGTGCTTATGCTCGGCAGCCCAGATAATGGGGGTCCAACCTCCGCTATCCTAAATGAGGCAGGAGAGTGTGTGTGATGGCAGTGCATGGAACGTGGCACGGAAGGCAAGGAAGTGAACTATTTTTGGTCACCAGCAGCAACATCCACAAAGGAGCATAATCTTCCAGATGTTCCTGCCTGATTTCTAAGATGATCTTTGGAGGCTTTTCTCTGGGCACCACTGCCTACGGTGGTATGATGGATAACTAACAGGGGAAGGGCCTTCTCTGTGTTGGCCCCCCATCTGTGAGGTGCCCTTCCCAGGGAGACCTGCCTGGCATCTTCATGACATATGTTTAGACACAGTAAATCATTTCTCCTCACATGACACCTCACACGAATAACAATTCCCTCTCATTACCTTTCAAGGTTGTTTTGCTTATTGTACTATCGTCTTGTTGACTGATGGTTTAAACGTTTTTGATTCTTTGACATGTTGCACACCACTTAGAGCATGTGTATGTAGAAAAGGAGTTTATAAATTACATAAAATTTATTCCCCAAGAGGAAAGCAGGCCAGGCTCCATTCCACCTGCCACTCACCTGGGCATTGACATCCACCTGTCCTGTAGAAAGCAGCAAGCTGACCATCTCCACGTTCCCATTCTTGGCAGCATGATGGAGACAGGTAGAGCCGTCGTCCTCCTTTGGCAGTAGCAAGGGGAAGGGAAAACAACAATCAGCAGGGGCGTGTGTGGCACAGATTCCATCGCACACGCACATCCCAAGTCCTTCCCCTCGTAATTCACTTCTCCCTTCGCTTCCTCTCATGTCACCGCTGGCCTAGCAGAACAGAACCTTTTGATCAAATGCCTGGGGTCATTTGCTGACCTTTCACCAGTTTCCTTACAGCAGTTTGTGCTTCCTGGATTTTAATGGCACAGTTCCTCTTTGCTGTTCAATAGTACAGCTGTATTTAAAAAAAACCCTGCATTATGCATGATCTTACATCCCTAATTTCTTCTGTGTAAACCATCTTGAGATTTTGCAATGAATTGATGGTATATAAAAATCATAAACAAATACATGTGAGACACCCGTACATGTGGCAAAGGAGGTGGGAAAAGCTAGAATAGCTAAACAAAAAGGATGGGAAGCTATCCTGAGTGAGTCACTGTTACACACCAAGTAAGCAGCCACGAAAACTTGACATCTGCTGCCCCCCTCAGGACTTTCAGGTTGTGATCAGTTGGGTTTTTCCCCTTCACAGAGTTATGTTATCATCTTCAAATATTGTATCCTCCCTTGCCGAGGGATCGGCTCTCTTTTGTTGTCACCAGCTGAGTTCCGTCACTCTCTCCTCGAGTGCATAAACTTGATCGCTCTCACACAGACATTCAAACAGCCCCCTTCATATGCCCTATTATCCCCCACACCACCCAGGATGCTGATCACCCTTCACGAGGCCACATGTATGAGAGACGGCCTCCCGTCTCGGTCTCACCCAGCCGCAAACACCATTCACATCAGAGATACAGCACTGCCGACTATGTACGTTTGCCCTCAGATTTCTAGCAGGCACCTCGATTTCCATCCACACATCCCCTTCTCAATTTCCATCCATACATCTCTCTCTCTGCCCTTTGTCTCCTGACCTTGGTGTAAACGCAGCCTCCCCTTTTGACCAAGTAACGTGCTAACTCCACATGGTTGTTCGCAACCGCCTCCATGAGGGGTGTCCGGCGTAACTTGTCTACTGTGTTTATGTTGGCACCAGCCTACAGAGGAAGAAAGTACAATTAATCTGGCCCCCGACATCTCTCTGCAATCCCAGCATGATCTCCCATCCATAAACTCTGCATCTTCCCCTTGCTGAAGGCTCCCTTCCCTCAGTTGCAATTACAAGAGGCGGTGCCTTTACTGACTTGGCCTGAGGGAAAGGATGGCTGCAGCAGCAGGAAAAATTCTGCATCAGTCCAGGGCCAAATCAGGGTTTCCAAGTTGCTATCACCCACTTTCCCCAGCGGCTGATCATCAGGGTGCTTTCCAAGCTTTTTTCTTGTCCTTGTCCCCCATTACTTAAAAAAGTTGAAATGCCTCTCCCACAGTCAAGTTTCTGGTAGTAGGAATCTCAAGCTGCAACAGGCTGGAAGTTTTTGATATCCCCTGTTGCTTTCAGTCCCGCCCATCATCAGAATGTGGCTCCCCCAGAAGTGAATTCTCCAAAACTGAATGTGGTCCAAGGACAAAGGGCTTGTACCAGATGCAGCCTGCAAGTCCTTGCCCCGGTCTGGGGAAACTAAGGCCCATCAAACTGATGCTACGAGAGAGGGGAACACCTGAAAGTCAGGCCTGCCCATGTAAAGACACATGTCCAAGTCATGCCAGGCCTTTCCCTGAGTTGCAAGATGGGAGGGGATTTGATTCAGGACAAGGTCATCTTCTGCAGCTGGGAGACGTGCCCTTGCTGGAAGCCTGTGTTTCTCGACCAAGGGCATCTTCCATCCGATCAAAGCAGGGGAAAACTCTTGGAGAGGTACAGCAACTGCCTGCCAGGATTCAGCCTTCAACAGGGTGGCTCTTTGGTGGCCTTTGAATTTAAAATAGGGCGGTAGACTTTGCCAGAAGTCACATCCTGGCTTGGAAAGCTCCCTGGTTTCAGTGGGACTGTGACTTTATTTGGATTTATTCAGTATGCCGAGCCCAGGGCTGACGGGGCCTTTGTTGCAACGCACACAAATGCACTCTGGTCAAGCAGAGACGTTCTGACCTGCTGCCTGTGGAGCTTTACTAGTCCATAAAGGTTTACAGCCAATTACTGGTATGACCACAATAAGAGGTTTCCCCAAAGCACGTGCTTCAGCTTTGGGAAGCCGGGTTCTAACACTGCCTGCAAGGAAACCGCGATGCCGACACATGCAGACACCTGCCCCACCTGCAGCAAAACGTGGCAGATTTCCAGGAAGCCTTTCTGCGCTGCAGCATGCAGTGGGAAACGCTTGCTCTGCTGCTCGCTCTGGAAATTGGGGTCCAAGCTGTCCACTGGAAAGGAAGGACAGACGCTGCCAGCTTGTCGAACAGAATGCATGATGGGCCAGAGAGAATTTCCCAGGCACTTGTGGAAGCAACAGGAAACAAGGGTAACTAGCCAACTGGTAGTCTAGGCTCGGTATCCCTCAAATCACACCTCGGCCCTCGTGTGCAAGGTGTCCCTGACTGACTAGGAAAGAAAGTCACCCTGTTACTGCCCTCTTTGGTAGGGGCCAATAGCAGTTTGTTTACTGTGAAAGCTTCCAGGGATTTGCAAGCATTATTTCTGTGCGCTCACAAGAACTTTGAGGGGTATTGCAAGGACTCACACAAACCTTTGCCCCCTGCTTCACGGGGTGCCTACTTAAACCAACAGACACAATGGCAGTGCTCAGGCATTGTGCTAAACTAGATTACTACAGGAGTGCCCTGACCCACACTGTTGTCCAACCTCTTCTGCAATGTTCCCACTGCCTGTGCTCTTCCACCCCAGAGGGCCTCCTACAGATTTGCAGGTGGTCTGTATCAATATCAATGGTGTATATATACATGTCTGCAGCCCCTGACCCTTTTTCTGGCCAAAAAGTCATCTCTCCTGGCTTAGAACAGCAAGAACAAGCTGCAGCAAGCATCCCACTCAGGCATTTCCTCTTCTCTTCTGAACTTTCGCATAGCATATAAATAAGTTTGCTTCCATTCTCTATTTCTCTTAACCATAGTTTAGTGTTTCATCCAAACCTTCAACTGTGGCTAGTAAGAACTATAGTTTGTTGAAACAAATCAACTTCCTAACGCATGGCATGATGTTGGCTTGTTTCAAACAAACCATAATAAACATTAACCACAGTTTGTCAGTCCACACATGACAAGCATTAGTTAAACAAAAATGGAAGCAAAAGCTTCTGAACTCCTCCTTGTAGTCACAGCAGAAGAAAATGCAGCAGGGAGTACATGAAACAAGGTTCGCTGCAGCTCATTCTTCTCATGCTAAACTAGGGTTTCCTGTGACATCCATTTGTAGCCAGTCTCAATGTTGACTTACAGAGAGAGAGTAAAAGGATCCGCAATTCTGAGAACAGGTGAAGTGGACAGGCTGAACATCAACCCCTTGATGAAGACCATGGAGCAAGATGGCTAATGCTCCTTGTCAGCCATTTTCACCTCTTTGGGTTGTTTAACTCTGCCTGTGTAAGTCAATAGAGACACAATGGATCTGTTTACTTCAACAGACAATATTAAACACACTTTAGAAAGCTCTTCCCCTTTGGAATCTGACCAAGAACCAGATGAACTTCTGTCCCACTCAGAATACGTTGCAAGCCACAAGTGAGGGTTGGGTGCTTGCATTTTGGTCTGCTTCTTTGCAAAAGGCCACTCCATCCTTACTTACACAACATTAGCACTACTTTTTGAAGCTCTCCTTGCTTAACAGAGAGATACAGCTGGCGGGGGTGGAATCGCAGCTTCTTGCGCCTGGGGGAGGGAGACAGAGAGAGAGAGGATTTTGTGGGTAAAATTTAGGAAAAGTTCAAACCATAGAAGGCTCAAGAGAGAAGTGTGTCTTCTGCCCTGGTTCATGCACACTCATCGAAGAGCCTTGAACCTTTGCTATGCCAGGAATCTCCGCGCTTTCTGGAACCAGCGGGCACATTTAGGAACTTGAGAAACTGCTGTAGGCACTACTACAAAATGCCTTCTCAGTCGATCACTGCTTTGGCACCCATGTGTCACATCTCTGGATCTTAGGCCAAGTCCACAAGTCGCTTTGTGTGGGAAGGAGGTTATTACACAGATGAATTTTATACTGGGAGCAGTCTTTAATATTCACTGATGCATACACTCATTTAAATCACTTACCCACTCTACGGAAATCAATAAATTGACAGCATTAATGGATGTTCCACAACCTTTTGATAGCTAAAAGTCTGGTATGACAACACTGGAATGGTAAAAACCCCATCTCTGATAATGCAATGGATGGGAACCTAATGAAGCTTTTAATATCTGAACAGATAGCAAACAATTCAAATGAATATTTATTCAGTTATTTGATCTGCTCTTGTGGAAGCCTATGTATAATGGTTAGAAAGTTGTATGCATTTCATACAAAACCACCCACCTATATTAAAAACTGAAATAATTAAGGTATATGGAGCCAAGAGGCACCACTTGGGAAATGCACAGTGCCAGCGATTACTGGGAGGAGAGAAACAGCAGGCATTCTGGCTTCCGTGGAAGCAGGGAGAGGGTGGGGGGAGAGAAGGACGGATGGGGATGTGCCTTCATGTACCTCTCCGATTCCTGCACCACCAGCGCTCGCTCCAGTTGCTCCCGCCCAGCCCCCGGTGGCAAGCCCTGTGCAGAAAGCACCGCCCCATTGGGCAGGGTCAGCCGTGGTCCAGCGCTGTCGATTCCTGGGCCACCGAGGCCTGGCAAATCATCGGGCGGGTGCTCTATGCTTGAACCTCCACGCATCCGGGCACTGAGGAAAAGAGACACAGGCATGTGCAAACAATTCCTTGCCTGGCATCCAAGAAAGGCAAGAGGCCTGGCAGTTGATCTTGCTCTCTTTAACTGCTCCTGTTCTGAAGGAAAGCCCTATAAACACGCGTAGTCATGAATGTATCCGTCTCTCTGAGAGTGATTTCCTGGTCTCCATTATCAGTAATTTTGGTGCTACTTTCCTAGTCCTTCCTTCCTTCCTCTTAAATTCTTGGCTGGTGATGCCAGAATCAGCAAAACCAAATCCTGCTGTTCTGAATTCATTCTCAAAGCTGGAACCCATATGGGATTGACTGGATTTTCACTGGAACCCATATAGGATTGGATTGTTAAAATTTTCACATGAAAATTCCATGTGTATTTTTCCCAAACATTTTTCACATTTTTGAAATGTACATCACTTTTTTTGTTCAAAAATTGCAGAACAAGCTTGGGGACATAAAAAATTGACTGCAGGTTGGGTGCAAGTCTGTGTTCAGACAGATCCAGGTCTGTGTTTAGACCATCCAAGTCTGTGCTTAGTATGTAGGTGCAAAACTGAGTAAAATCCTGGTAAAAAATGAACTGAAACTAATTTCACGTTCCTAGAATCTTTGTTTGCACACTTCAGCTAAGAGTTACGCATTGTTATTTCAATGCGCTCACATGTGGCTCACATTTTCCCTATTCAAACTAGCCTTTTCCCATCCGTTCATGCACACACATATATTTAAACATGTATTTGCGCATATGGTTGCATGAGCACAGCATGAGGTTGGCAACATGTGGCTCCCCAGATGTTCTGGTCTACAACTCCCATGATCCCTTACCATTGGCATGCTAACCAGGGCTGATGGGAGTTGCAGACCAAACCATCTGAAAGACAACAAGTTGAGTGGTCGAGTTGTGGTTTCATCACAGGATGTCAGCATCTTAGGCACTGTGGAAGAGCACCAATGTATAGAATGCTTACAAACAGTGCATCTTCTGAAAGGAGTGTGGAAGGCTAGCTGGGATGGTGGAAGCCTCATGCAGGGAATCAGAGGCAGGAGGAATGGATACTGTTGTGTTGGGAGAGCAAGGAGATGAGCTAGTTAGGGAGGCTGGAGGGCCAGGAAGGCAGCAGTGATGTGGCTAAACAGACTGGGAAGATGGTGCTGGAATGAAAAGAGCACATCAGGAGAGGAGAGGAGAGGAGAGGAGAGGAGAGGAGAGGAGAGGGCCTGAGGAACACCTCACACAGGGCCTAGTGACAGATGGGAGATGGGAAGGGAAGGAGAATATACCAAGAACGCAGAAGTTGAAGGAAGGGGAGGCTGAGAAATCAGAGGTGGACATACTGGATTAATACAGTGTTTTAAAATGGCGGCTGCAGGTCTCTCGGAAATTAAAACCGAACACATGTTTATACACTGAAAGGGCACAGTGTGAACGAGGATTCGGGATTCTTACCTGCCACCACCCCCTTACCTGGGCTGGGTCGTGTCAGCGCGGCCCGTGGTCTCGGAGGCGCCTTGTCCGTGTGACAGTGGGATGGGGACAGGCGTGGAGGTGTCCGCTTTGGCTATCGTGATTTCCTGCGCCTCCGATGCATCTTCTCCGCAGTGGGGGCAGAAGATCATGCCATTGAGCTGAGAAACACAGGCCTTGTGGAAGCGATGCGCCACTCGGAAGTCCGGGTGGCACTCCAAAAAGGTGCCCTGAGAGGTGCGGGAGAAACAAGATTGTCAGGGATTCTGGGGCCAGGAACTGCAGGGGTGAGGGGACTGAGTTCTGCGGAAATGGGGGCGCTCAGGCCCCCAAAGGAAATGAGGCTGTGGACCAGTCAGCTTCTGCAAATGGCAGGCAGTAAAAACCCTCTGGACTGACTGGGCCTAACAAAATACGTGGGGCCTGGCCCTTCAGCTCTTGCCTGGTCAGCAGAGCAATATTTACCACATTTTTTTTTTACCTCAGGTAAGTTCAGAGAAGCCAAGCCTGGATTCAAGCACAGCCTGTCTTTGACTCCAACAAGGCCCGGACACAGAGACGGACAGCCTGGAGCCCCACTCCTTCCCTCCAAGGCCTCACATGTTTGGACGGGCCCTCAGCCCCAAAACCAGCACCCCTTCCTCCAAAACGTGGGCTTTTTTCTCACCGCAGTGCAGAAATAGCCACAGCCGGGGCAGCAGTGGTGCTTCACCATCCTGGCTCGATGCGCTTCACACAGCACCATGAGGGGAACCCGGCTGGAGGGACGCATCGTCTCACGCTTCAGGATGCTGCTGCTGCAGCCGTTCAGCTGTGGATGTAGACAGGAGGACGGTGTCTTTCCCCGGCTGAGCTCACCTCACAGCCATGGGTCAGTGCCTAATCAATATTGCTTCAGACCTCACAGGAGGACTTGCTCAGTGGAAGCAAGACTCCTTCCAGAGGCACATCACCACCCTTGGTCAACTTAAGATGCCTGGCCCTAGGTCAAACGTCTTGCAATACTTCTAGAAAGAGTTTGGATTTTGGCTCGCCTCATCATTGACGACCTGTGCACAGACAGTACCATTTTATTACAACAGGCATGATTATTACAACAAAATGGCCTAGCATATTGTTCCTCCTAAAAGGAGCACTCGTGTTCCAGGCTCCAGCCTCTCCAAGCAAGACATTCCCACGCTTCTCCTTCCCACCCCCTGGTTTTTCACTTCAAACTGATGCCTAACATTCTGTGCCAAGGGACTGTGTTCATTTCTCATCAGGTTGTTTGGCTGTCGTTTTCTGGAACAATATTTTCCAGCTACTTGAACTCTCAGGGTCTCCCCAAACGGGCTGCCCCCTCCATGTTTCTCAGTGGCCCTATTTTGCCTCCCTTTCTGCTTATACCCCCTGCCTGAGCTGGCTAATGGAATGAGGATTAGTATAACTAACAATCAGCAGAGGGTTCACAAAGGATCTCAGGGTGGTAAAGAAGCGAGGAGGAGAGGCATTAATCAAGGAACTCTCCTGCCTGTGCCTCCTTCGTCCCAGACTCCCCCCTTTTCTCACCTCTCCGTCGGCGCTCTCTGTTGCCATGCACTGATTGCCGGCCTGCTGGCTGAGGCGCTCAATCGTCGGGGCCTCCATGCGGCAGGAGCAGAGGGGCAGCTCCTCAAAGCGCTCCGTCTCCAGTGAGCTCGTCTCGTTAGACACCCCTGTGAGGGAGCAGCAGGAGGAAAGAAAGGATTCTGAGAATCCCTGTACATTCAGCTGTGCAAGGCCACCTCGACCTCCAGGCTATCCACGGGCTCTTTAAACTTGGCAGCAAGGCCTCCTGGGTCTATGTGGCCGACCAACACCTCCCTCGTGACACTGCAACATTTCATGTGCTCACAAGTACATTTCAACACTTTGCTCAAATTAACAACGTTCGAGAAATGGCCCAAGATCCTTTGATGCTTGAGCCAGAAAATACCTGCCACCTCTAGCAAACGTTCTCATCTTGCCTTATGTTGGAAGCTGCCCTGTTATTTTTACTCTAAGCCGATGATGTCTCTCAAATATAAAATATGCACGAATCATGCTGGAAGAACTTGGGATTAATTCTCCTTGGTTTCACTGCATAGGACAGTACATTTTTTCAAAAGAAAGAAACCAGAACAATATGCTGCTCTCAGCATCTGTAAGCCACCCAGAGCACCCTTGGGTTATGGGGCAGCATAGCAGAGGAGTGAAATAATAAATAACACACAGAGAGCAACTAGTCTCTCTTGTCGTGCCAGTTTTTAAAAGCTTGGAGACAATTGCAATTGCAATGGAGGAGAAGCCAGATGTCCCTTCCTTGAACTGAACTGTGCTTGTGTTTCCAGAGTTCTGTTGGGTTGGAAAGCAAAATGCTTTATCACTCAATGGCTGCTACCTCCAGGATCAGAAGGCTCTGAATTACTGGATGCTTGGAATAGGACTGGGTGGTGGCCTTCCAAGGAAGCCTCTTGTTGGCCACTGTCTGTCTTTCCATGGGGCTGCCCTTGAAAATGCTCCGGAAGTTGCAATCGGTACAAAATAGAGCAGTGCATCTGCTTACAGGGACTGGCAGACGAGATCATTTGTTGCCGGTCCTGTATAATCTGCACTGGTTACCAATTGCAGCCTGGGCCTACTTCAAGGTGCTTGTATTAACATATAAAGCCCTAACCTGCTTATGACCAGATTATCTGAAGGAATGTTTCCACCTATATGTGCCTACCTGTGCCTTAAGGTCATCTTTGGAGGGCCTTCTCTGGGAGCCACCTTTAAAGGAAGCGAAGGGGAAGGGCCTTTTCAGCAGTGGCACCTGGTTGATGGAACTTGCTCCCCAGAGAGGCATGCCTAGCACCAAGGCTGTACACGTTCCAGCACCAGGCAAAAAACTTTTTATTTACTCAGCATTTTAATGGTTAGACAGCACCTTATTAACATCCACAGGTCTTCCCTTTACTTCTTTGGTTTGGTTTTTGTTTATATGTGTATTTATATATACATATGGTGGGCATGTCATGAGTGGAGCCGGCTGGAGCCGGGGGGTCAGACAAGATGGCCCGGGAGGTCCCTTCTGACTTGCTCTGTTTCTATGTTTCTTGGGACCTTGTGCCTATTAATTTGTTTAAACTATGTTGCAAATTGCTTTGTTTAGTTTTATTCATTTGTAATTGGAATGTTTTATGGATTGTTACTGTTTTAGACGGGGCGTGGTGGCTTAGCGGGTAAGATGCTGAGCTTGTCAACTGGAAGGTGGGCAGTTCAACCCCCTAGTGCGTAATGTGCTGATCTCCCGGTGCTTTGTCCCAGCTCCTGCCAACTTAGCAGTTCGAAAGCGTGCCAATGCGAATAAACAGGTGGGAAGACAACAATGTTCTGTGTGCCAAAGCATTTAGTCATGCCGGCCACATGACCGTGGAAGTGTCCTCAGACAATGCTGGCTCTTCAGCTTGTAACAGAGATGAGCACCACTCCCAGAGTCGGACACGACCAACACGCATGTGCAAGGAAAACCTTTACCGACTCTGTTTTAATATACTGTATTATCTCGGGGTGGGGGGGGGTATTGAATGTTAACTGTTCAGACAGCCAACATGGCTGAGTGAACAGTATACAAATTTTAATAAATAAATAAATAAATAAAATCTGGATGCTGGACCAGAGCGACCTTTGGTCCAATCCAGACTCCTCTTATGTATGCTCTCCTGCAGGAAGCAGGGAAGGCCCCTGAACCATTCAAATGCCTTGGACTACTGCCACCATAATCCCCAATGACTGGCCATGCTAGCTGGACATAACGAGGAGTCACAGTCCAAAATATCAGGACCACCAGCCTTGAACTGTTCATTGTTCTGATCCAGCCTCCTAAAAAGATCTTGTAGATTTGGAAAAGGTGCAGGAAAGTGCAACCAAAATGATCAAGGGGTGGGAGCAGCCCCCATGTGAGGAAAGAGGATAACATTTAGGACTATTAGCTCAGAAAAAAACATGAGCGGGGCAGGCAAGGGGGAATGACTGAAGTGTCAATAATTACACATGGTGTGGAGAAAGTAGACCATGAGAAGCTTTTCTCCCACTCTCATAATATTAAACCCAGAAGCTGAGCCCTGAAAGATGCATGGTGGGAGATCCGGGACAGAGAAAAGAAAGGACTTTATCACACAACACACAGTTGAACTATAGAATTCGCTGCCCCCAGGTGCCATGATGGCCACTAGTCTGAAAAGGGGATTAGACAGCTTCATGGATCAAAAGGCTACTTACAAATGCCTACAATATATTGCCCCTAAGTATCAGTGGGCAGGTGCCCATGTGGCCCCTCCGATGGGAACCTGAGTGGGAGAGGGCACTGACTTCCTACTTGTGGACTTCCTGGCTGGTTGGTCACAGTGTGAAAAGAATACTGGACTAGATGGATCCCCGTCCTGCCCCAACACCGCTCTGCTTACTTGTTTGCTATCAGACAACACCATGATGCCAGCAGTGTGGGAATTAATGTTATCAATTCCATGGAAAGTTTGACGGCTGCCAAGTCATAGGTGACCAAGTCAGAATATCTTCTGGATGGCTCCCTGGGGAGGGATTCCATTGTCACCCCCCTGCCCAGGTTCACAAAGTCCTTTTAAATTAAGAGTCAACCAAGCTTCCAAAAGCAAATGAAGCACAGGAACGGAGGCGCCTGCTCCGGAGGGAGAAGGCGCCACCCGAAAGCCATCCACCCCCAAACACAAAGCTGAGCTTGGATTTGGATCGGACAATGCCCATTGTGGCGTCTCCAGCAGAGAGGGAGGGAAGGTAGGGGCGCACCTGCATTGTTGGGAGACAGTGCCCCCTCATTGGGCAACTCCAAACAGTCAAGCGGTACCTCCGTATACTCGCTCTGTGCGGTTGAAGGGCCACCATTCAAACCTGGAGAGACAGAGATGCAGGGAAATGAGACGGTCCAGAGCGACGGTAACACAACCTGCACTTTGCTCTCATCAGATCTCATTACTCCTTCTGAGGCCTGTTCACCCCATTTGGAGAGAGTCTTTTAAAGCAGAATTGCTTGGGATTTCACTCCCAGGGCCTTTTCCAGATCATTTAAATAGCCACCAGTTCCCAATTAATCCTGGGAGGTCTATGTATGACACAAACATATTTGGACTCAGTTATGGAAGCCTTCTGTTTACTTTGGCCCTCTGCTTTCTGTCTATCGATGAGGGAGGGAGACCTCCTTGGATCCCATGGGGCTCAAGACAGGGAACTGGGAAGCTGATATGCCATTGTGGTGTAGCAGTTATGACTGGACAACTTGTATCCCTCTAGATGTTTTGGCCTACCACTGTGTCCCCTCCCCTTTTTCTATGGTGGCTGGGACTGATGGGAGTTGTAGGCCAGAACATTCAGAGGGCCACAAGTTGCCCACTTCGAGGTTACCATGTTGGACTTGTACAGAAAGACTCAGATTCACAATCTTTCACGGCCTTATAAAGCAATTCTCCATTTTTCTCGGTCTAGCCTTCCTCACAGGGTTGTTGCAACAGTAAAATGGAGAGGGAGAAAGAAGGAAGGGCAAGATGACAGAAGATACATGGCAAGATGGTTTCATGACTCCAGCCAGGCACTGCAAGGGACCCACTTTCCTTAATTAAACTCCCCAGGGCCTCACGGATCTATTAAGTTACTACATTTCTATACTGTCAAATAGCCAAAGTTCTGTAAGTGGCCGCAAACCATTTGACAAACAGTTTGCCAGTGTGCTGTTGATATTTTAAAACTGCCATGTGGAGACAGGGGGCAGCTGTAGGGAGGGCGAAGAGGGCCCATCCTGGCCCCAACTGGAACCACCCCTCAAATGCATCTTTGGCGCCAACCAGCACTTTCCTCCCACTGTGAGCAGTGGGGCTGAATGCGCATGAGCGGGAGCTCTGGTGAGGTGCCCAAGGCCTCCCGTGGTTCCCATCTGGCTCCCCTACTCCAACAACTGTTTTTTAATGGTGCCAGGGGAAATTATGCAACAAACTTTGCATGAAGTTTGCAGACAGTATGAAGCAGCGTCACAGGCACGAGGCCGGTGTCTATGGCAGGCATCCTTTCCCCAACCTGCGGTCCCCCAAGTGGGTTAGACTGCACCACCCGTAACTTGTGCCGCTTCCCCATCCCTGTCTAGCAGCAGCACCACCAGCCCATTTCCTGGTTTCCCAGTGGAGTAAACCACGCCGCACCCCAGTTTGGACACTGGGTGGTCACCTCTGGTGTCTTTGGGGTGCGGTTCTTTGCGCTTGCGTTTCCGCGAAGGCTTCACCCAGGGGCTGTCATTCCGCCAGCGCTTCCTGGCCTTCCGCTTGGAGCTGGAGGCAGCGCTCTGGAGTGAGAAAAAGAGCCGGTGTGAGGACAGGGCAGGGAGTGACTGGAGCTCCGTCAGGAGCACATGCTTGGTGAGGGGATGGTCAGAGACTCAACCCTGCCAGCCAGAATAAACCAGCCCGGTGCCCTGCAGTTGTTCTGGGCTACAGCTCCCAGCATCCCTGGTCCACTGGCTGATGGGTGCTGCAGCCTAGAACAGTAGGGCAGTGTTGTGGGGGGGGGGGGCTACACGAACAAACAGCTCAATCTAGTATAAGGCACTGCTTAGTTACCTCTGATCGCCAGTAAGAGGGAGGATGCAAACACTCAGGCCAGTGGGTTTAATCCAGCCCACCAGGGGTCCCTGTCTGGCACTTTCAGGGTATATTATTATTATTACTACTACTACTACTACTACACAACATTTCTATCCTGCTCATAGCCAAAGCTCTCTGGGCAGTTCACAACATTTAAGTCACCCATTCAGATTTTCAGCCAGGCCTGACCCTGCTTAGCTTCCAAGATTAAGCAGGATCAGGCACTTCAGGTCCCATTCCTACCCTCACCCCAACTGTTGATTGACTGATTTTTTCCTAACTTAAGTGCTGCTTTTTCCTCCATTCTAAAGAGTTGAAATGTCTCTACTAAGACCTGGGTAGTTCCAGTAAGAGCTTTCTGATAAAATAAGTTGGCAGGTCCTGTATTTTGGCTCAGCCTACACTTTCTGCCTTCAGCCCCTCCCACTGCTGGAACGCAGATCCCAAGAAAGGCCTTAATGTCGCAGCCAATTCTGAAATTTGGCCTTGGGCTGAGGAAGGTTCAACACCCGTTCCAGATTAAGCCTCCACAGCGGCATCGTGCTGCTGCTTCCGGCTCACACCTGGTTTTCCACGCCTGGCTTGAAAGGAGAGGCAAGAAGATCCCTCTCCTCTCGCTGCAGCTTCTCCCTTCCAGCTGGCTCCTAAAGTATCTCCTAAGCTTTGCAGGTATGTGGCACGTACAAATACACAATGCTGAGGACATTAAGTGAGGTCTAAAGTTGCTGGGAGCAGAAAACATCTAATCAGGAATGGCCAATTTGAACATATACCTTTGCGCAAAAAAGCAAAAAAGGAAGACCAAATGAAAACCTAAGCCTCAACTCACTCTGTCAGAGAGGTTACCCGATTCTTCATCATCATCTTCCTCCTCCTCATCGTCCTCATCATCTTCCTCCTCCTCTTCCTCCTCCTCCTCTTCTTCTTCCTCCTCTTCCTCCTCCTCCTCCTCTTCACTCATATGCTCTCCACCAACATCTGCATCCGACTGTATGTGGAAAGGAGAAATTGGGAGCCAGGAGGAGAGGGAAGAGCGTGACTTAGGAAATATCCGATTCCAGCTCTGATCAGGCATACCATAAACATCGAGACACTGAAGGGGGGTACATGCTGTTTACCATGGAAAGCACCCTGGGACGGAGGGGGGGTTGATCATTTCCTCTTGGCACATTAATACCAGCCCACTAATGCCAGCTTCATTAATACCAGTCCATTCTCAGAAAACCAGTGGTAAATTTTCAAGATCAGTAAGTTCTGAACACAATTATAACTATTTCTTATTATTTCATTTATATCCCACCTTTTTGGCCCCTGCAAGGAAACCAAGGCTCACATGGTCTGCCATCTCTGCATTTAGATTAAGTTGAGAGTCTTGTCACCAAGTGAGCTCCGTGGCCAATTGAGAACTAGAACCCAGGCCTTCTGGGCCCCAGTTCTACATTCTCCCCAACATGCCACACCAGACGCATGTTTCCCGGATTCTTCCTTGAGAATCACTGAACTGACATTCCGGGAAATCTTTATGCAGAGCTTTCTCTGTGCTGCCACACATGGAATGACTGAGAAACCACAGATATTGGCTGGGGAATTTAGCCCGCTAAGAGTTACAGGTCTCCTCACCATCACTTCTCAAGCAAGTTGCTAGTTCTTACGGTTGTAAAATTTATATGGAAGTGTGTGGGCAATGCAAAGCACAAAGGTCTCAAAAGCCAGAGCATAGCCAGTTAATTTCTTGTGTCTAGAGAAAATACATGGTGTTCAAGCATAGCCCCTCCATCCCCTTCAATGACAAAGAGAAGCAAAATAAACTATGCAAAATGAGGGAAATCATGCATATCTCCAAAATTTGCATGATTTACATAGGTCACAAATCCACCTTTCAGGATCACAGAATCAGACTTGCAGGGGGAACATCATCTTGATCCTTCCCGGAATATCCATAAATATTTATTACACATCTAGATCATCTAATAGCCCAAACTCTGCATACATCTTTTATGAGAGAGACTGGTAGACATTAAAGCAGGACCAGCTCCAAATGGGGGGGGGGGTCCCTCCAGCAAAGGCCCCCCTCTATTACCTACACAAGCCCTTCTGTTGGGCGGCAGCAGCATCCTGAAGTTAGCACAGGATGGCTGGGAACCATTTTAATCCCCCACAACCCCTTTAACTTATCATTATTCTGGGACATTGTGGGAAATTAAAATGGCAGCTCCAGACCCAGGGTAGGTGTCAGTGGAGGAACCTTCTGGGGGGCCTGGCAGCTGCCAAAGGAGGACATGTACCACCACCAACACTTTCAAATGTTACCACACCAGTTCCCACATATATAAATCATTCTTAAGGCATGAATGGCACTAGTTACGTATCCCCCAAGCTTCAACTATATCTGCCCGCATTCACTGCCACCAGCTGCACGAAAGCTTTGTTTCAGAGCACCTTGCTGTCTGAGTCCACATGGCCATCCACGGAAAAGCTGTCGTAGAAGAGGCTGAAGTCATCCCCCACCTCAGTCTCCCATTCCTGGCCACCCTCGTCCTGCGAGGCTGTGGCCGGAGCAGTCATCTCTTCTGTCACGGTGATCTGGGAAGCAGGAATGAGTTATTTATGTTCTTTATTTGCTGCTTTTCAGCTGTTGCCCTCAGAGTAAGTTACAAAATAAAAGTGCAAGTTAATAATAATTTAAGCAGAGGTCAGTGGCAAAAAAATAACTTAACGGCCTGAACAAATAACAAGGTTGGGATGGGGCAAGGGTGGCCAGGCATGAAAGAACAAATCTAGGAGGAGAACCTGTCTGTAAGGGATTCCAGAGCAGGGCTGCAGCTAGAAAGGTTCTGTCTCTTTCCACTACCCATGTATCCACCTCAGACGATGAGGGCAAAATCAAAGCAGAGCCTTAAAATCTGGAGAGGTCTATGCAGAAGCAGACAATCCTTAAGATCATGGGATAGACAACCTGGTGCCCTTCAGCTGTCTTGAACTACAAGTTCCATCAAATAAACACTACAACAAAAATAAAACTACCTCTGACATCTCACCATATTGGCTAGAATTTAAGGGAATTCTATTCTAAGACACTTGGAGGGCACCTGACTTATCTACCCCTTTTAATAATTGCTTTTCATCATAGGAAAATGTGAGTGGGTCGGATCAAAATCTGTGACAACTAATGCAATGGGCCAGGTAAGATTTCTTTAAGCAGGCTGCTATCCCTAACTGAAACCAGGCAACCTGAATCTTTGAAAAGAATTTTTAAAATGTCAAGGCAAAGGGATGAGACATACCTCTGTTGTAGCTCTGGGACTCGACCGCTGAAGGGAGAGAGGCATCCTCTTGTGCATGGCATCAGACATGTAGTCAAACTTCCTGCGCTTGGCAGGTTCTTCTTTAGAAGGAAAAGGAAGAGGAAGGACAATGAAAAGTTCGTCCTGGCTGGCCAGCTTTTCCTCACATGATACCCTTCAAATGTTTAGGACTTCAAGTCCCATTAGCATGATTGATCAGGCAAGCTGCGAGTTGCAATCCTGAGCATCTGGAAGGCACCAAGTTCTGGAAAGCAGCCACAAGCTGTGGAGATCCCAGAACCCCCTCCTACCACGGCCCGAGCATCCCTCCAGCCTCAGCACCCCCAAGGCATACCTGGCTCTTCAATGCTCCTCAGGTCATCCGGGACTCGGAAATGCAACATCTCAGACACTCGCTTTTCAGGGACCTTGGGAGGTGGAAAAGGAAGGGGTAATGCTGAAGAGAGGATGTTTTTTGGTTATGGCCCTGCTGCTCAGTGTAAATCAAATTAAACCCTAATCTGAATCCTCAGGGAAAGTGGCAGGTCAATACAGAGTGCCAGAACAAGCATGCATGCTAACTGGCTACTTAAGCACTGAAAACATATCAATGGACGAAGTAGGATTATGCTCCTGAATACCCAAAAGCACAAGCCAAAATTTGGAAGAGGAGCGTCCATAAAACTTAAAATCCAGATGGGTATCTTTGGGGGTCAAAGGAACAGTTTCAGTCCTCCAGAATGCCCAGAGGGCTGCACTGCCCTCAAGGGTGCCAGAAATTGGGGAAGAGGTCATTTTACTTACTATTTATTTTTCAAATTTATATGCTACTCAATAAACCAACAGAACTCTCTAAGCAGCTAACAATATACAACAAACGGTACAAGTACAAGGATAAGAGGGGAGGAGATCCGTTGCACCATAATCAGTAAAGCACAGTCAGGTTCCATAAAATCTTCAAAAGAAGATGGTCCCTTCCTGGTGCCAAAATGGAAGTAGAGATGGTGCCAGGCAAGCTCTTTAGAAAGCTCATTCCAAGGCTGGAAGAATTAAAACAAAATTTAAAATTAAAACAAAGCAGCTCCAGACACGTTTTGGTTTGGAAAAGCAGTATTTGTTACAAAGTACACTGCTGGGGGTGGGACTGGACTGATGCCCACCTGAGTTAGAAGGTTTGGTTCTCTCTAAAAGCAAACTAAAGAGAACTCTCTATTTAGTCTCCTCCACAGAGAAGATGAGCAATTTGTGGCCCTCCAATGTTTTGAAGGAAAAGCTGCCATCAACTCAGACTAATGGTAAAGGATGACACAAGATGTAGGCCAAAGCTTCTGGAGGAACCAGATTGAGGAAGGCTAGTGTGAACATTCAAACATGCACAAGGTTCTCATATACTGGGGTAGCTAAACCAAGGCTCAGGAGTCACCTGCGGCTCTTCTGAGGTATCAAGTGAAAACTTAAAGGTGGGGAAAACTGGCCAAAGACCACAGGTCAGAACCTCACAGTAAGAATCGAGTCTCCAGACATGCTGCTCTTCCTCCATGCTCACGAGGCAGATTGAGGCCATCTCTGGTGGGTGCAGCAACCAAAGCAAAGCACGTTTCCCCAGTGGAATCACTTCATCCCGCGCAGCTTTGCAGCTCAGTGGATGAAGGCACCCATCGTACAAGGCAGCCCCAGAAAAAGGCTGTATCTCTAGACCTACCTGCCCACTGTTGGGTTTAGACATGGTTTTCCGGGCCCGGTGAACCTTGGGCTTGGCCTCCTCTGCTGCTGGAGCCGGAGGCTGAGCAGGGGCTGGGGCTGGGGCCGGGGCCGGGGCCGGAGCCGATGGAGGGGCTGGAGCCGGAGCTTCTGTTGCAGGAGTTCCGGTTTCACTAGGCAGCCGTGAGCCGGGCATACTCAGCAGGCGCATGGCCAAGCTCTGGATGGAGGTGGGGGACTTACTGGTCCCAGTCAGAGACATCTTTGCCCGGCTGGCTCCACCTGCTTTGCTGGGGGATGATGGGAAAGTCTTGGCAGCATGGCCTGCAGTGAAAGAGAAAAGGGGAGGAGTCATTGGAAGACCTTCCCGCAGCTTTTTACAGGTCTGCACGAGTAGAACGCTGGACTAGGCATATGGGGTGTCTGTTTAAAATGACTGAGGTTGATCATGGATGGTCAGCACCGAGATCCGCTGAGAGCCATGGCATCATCCAGCCCACGGTCCTTCCTCCTCGCTAGCAAGGCAGATAACCATAATAAAGCTGTGTACAGAACACCGTATCACCAAAGCCAGAGACATCACAGCACATCACATAGAATCATTACAACAGAGGCAACAATAAACCACTGTTTTCCACAAAAGAGAAAGACAGCCAATCAAGTGCTGTGAGCACCATTGCCAGCCCGCCCCCAGTCTCACCTGGTAGACCTTTACTCCCCGGACTGGGGCTGGTATTTGAGCCAGCTGAGATGCCCCCTCTTTCCGGAGACATCCCTCCCACTTCTTTACCACTTGTGCTAGTCTGCATCCGTGCCCCATCGTCGCTGTTCCTGCCAGATGGCAGGAGGCCCTCCCCCACTCCTCCCAAGGTGCTTTTGAGCTTCCGAGGAGACAAGGATCCGGGAGAGGGATCAGAGCCATCCCTGGAGGGTGCAGCACCTGGAAAAACAGCGACACACACACACACATATATTCATGGTCCTGGAGGGTTGTCGTTCAAGCAGGAAGGTGAATTGCTGGGCCAGACTCCACGAGGCTCTGCCCTGAGGACATTTCACAGAACTCTGCATGTCCACTGGTATCAAATGCAATTTGTTATCCCTCAACTTCTCTGAGAAGAGAAAGGAACTCTGCCTTTCCTTCATGGAGGAACTTTCCTCAAAAATCTTCCCTTTAATTAAACTTCAAAGAACTTTTTCCATTGGCTTGGGATGATCAAGATGCAAATGCACTGGAGAATATGTTTTATATGAGTTAGATAAGAATTGAATTCACTGGCTTTGCCTCCTATGAAATTGAATTAAATCTCATTTGAATTGTGCATTTATAGCTAGAAACACATGCAGATTTGATACAGATTTGTAGCTATATTGGTTCCCTGAAGAAGTCACCTGGGGTGGGGGGGTCCACAAATGCCTGGGTCAGAAATACATAAATTCCTTGGCTCCAGGACAAGAACTAATGATGCCTCTTGCTATGGATTTGACAGAAGTTTTTCTTTCTCACTCTTCTCAAGTCTGTCAGTACACACAAACTCTTAACCCCCCCACTCCTGGGGGCAGGGGAAAGCTGCTTTGCTAAGGCAAACACTTTCCTTCTGACAGCAAAATGACTAGGAAATTCAGCTTCAAGGCAATGATCTAGCAGGCTGAAGCTTTGGCATGGCTTCAAGAGCCAGTGTGGTATAGTGGTTAAGAGCATGGGACTGGGACTCAGGCGATCTGGGTTCTAGTCCCCGCTCAGCCATGGAGCCAACTGGGTGACTTTGGGCCAGTCACAGACTCTCAGCCCAACCTACCTCACAGGGTTGTTGTTGTGGGGATAAGATGGAGGAGGAGAATGATTTAAGCTGCCTTGAGCCCTTTGTAGGAAAAAGGCAGGATATAAATCGGGGGGCGGAGGGGGGAGAAAGATTCTATCCAGGCTTTCAGATTCTAGAAAAGTTCTCTGCTTTACCTGTTGACCCTTAATAACCTCCTTCCGGTACAGCCTATACAAAGGCACCCACAAATCTTTTGAGCGCCTAGGAAAATCCTTGCCACTGGATTTCAAGTCTGGGTAGGAGAACTGGAGAAAAGCAGAATCCACCCTATTTCTAACACCGGACTCACAGAGAAACCTACCTGCTTCATCTGGTTCCACTTCTACTAACACTGCTACTCCTGCTGCCCCTCGAGAAGCCTCAACCTGAGGAATAAAAGCAGAGATGGGAAAAGTCAACTGAATTCCATGTTTATCAAGTTGTTCTTTTGCTGGAGTAGTGCACCTGAAATGAATGTGAGCAACGAGCCAAGAAGTACCAGGTCAAAGCAGAGCCTAGGTGGCGCCCATCTATAAATGGGGATTGTAATACTGACCTATTTTACAGGATTGTTGCAGAGGTAACCGAGTCAAAGGATGCACTTTGGACACTTTTGTCTTCTGGTATTATACCTTATTAATCTACTTGGGACTCCACAAACCACCATGGAAATTTCTGGGTATTGAATACCCAAACTTAAAACTGCATATTTATCTATAAATGTAAGTCATTATTAAGGCCTACTGATATATCCTTCATTGTTGTAATATAGTTATGTTGCTTTAAAAAACCTCACTGACCTATGGTTGATACTGCTTGGAGATATTTTTGGCTTATTTGGGTGGCTTCTAAATCTAAATAAGGTATGTATGTTCTGGGGTAAGAAACTTTACTATTGCCATGAGCACTGTTTTTGTTCTCTAATCCACTCTGTAATCCTGCTCCCTTCTCCTTCCCCCAGTGCAACACTGCACAAAATCATGTTTAGAGTACCACTGAATTCTGAAAGGATCTTTTCCTGGTAAATTTGTTTAGAATTGGAAGTCCATACTCCTTATGATTGAGCTGTGACATGGGAGGGAAATGACATGGGAGGGAAATGACAGAAATTACAAAGTGGTAGATACACCTTGCTTCTCTGAAATTCCATCCTGAGCAACTGGGAAAGATCTCTCACATTTTTGCCCCACGTAGGAAAAAAAATGGAATCCTAAGTATAGCCAGAAGTTTCATCACCAAAAAATCTGTGTATTATACTAGCCTTTCCATACATCTCAAGAAAGGTCAATATGGTATAGCAAAGTCTTCTGCAAACTACTGGATTTTGTGCTGGACTTCAACTCCCATCATCCCCAACTGGCATGGCCAATAGTCTATGAATTGATTGTAGTCCAAAGCATTTAGAGGGCACCACTGGGGGAGACTTGTGTGGTAGTGGGAGATCCTGGGAAACCCAGTGTCCCATCCCCCCCAACAAACCAATTTTACAGTCTTGTCATGAGAATTAAGCCAGGACAGAATCACGTATATCAATTTGTGCTCCTTAACTCTGGAGTCTCCAAGGTGGTGACTGTAGGCAACAACATTCTCACAGACACCTCTTATTTTATTTCCTGACATTTTTTTATTTTTGCATTTGTATGCCACCCCATACTCCAAGTATGTAATTCTAATTATGTAATTATAAGAAGATAGCAAGCAGAGTAGCTTTCTTCATTTGGGTTCAATGGAGTATGTTTGTGTTTTAGATCGCAGACCTCACTTCTGTCATGCATTCAGCTGTTGAGGAAAGTTATTTTGTTTTCAGCCTCTCTGGTTTGCATTCTTGGGAATGAGTCTTTTTTGTGACTGGCCATATGCAGAAGGCAGCCATTTTATGAATAGGGCACACCCCCATTCCATGGCAGCCATTTTGTGAGAGTACCCACAACACTCCCAATTATGCCCACTGGCCTGAAATGGTTGGGCAGCTCTGCCTTAAAAGAGAAAAAGTAGCCTTAATATGAAGCAGTACTATCTAGAACAAAGTGTACAACAGCCAACCTTGGGGAAATCAAGCAATTGTTTTCCACACATGAACCAGGTCTGAATGTTGGTTCCTTAACACATAGTAACACAGCCAACCACATAGTCCTGTCACCTCTGAATAAATCCATCCTCTCACAAATCCCAGAATACAATAGCCCAAAACTCAAACCCCTTCCACTCTGGAAACTTCCCCTCTTCCATAATATTTACATCCATTTCACTCTCCCTACCATTCTGATTTTTTTTCCAAATCTGAGCCAATCGGACAGTATTTTGCTAACCCACTCAGGACTAGCAAGCCGAAAAAGTCGTACAGTTTAGATAGGGCATCTCTCCACCCATCCATGAGGGTGTGATTTCTTGCCTGGTATAAAGTCCCACCCACCTTTTTGGAGTCAATTCAGGCCCTTAAAGCAGCCTTCCCCAACCTGGTGGCCTTCAGAGGCATTTGGACCACAACTCCCAGAATTCCCATCCAGCAGGGCCACTGACTAGGAATTCTGGGTGTTATAGTCCAAAAGTATCTGACAGGCACAGATACAGGTTGAGGAAGGCTGCCTTAAATAAAAGACCCTGCAAAGATTCCAGGTTCCACCCCCAGCATCTCCAGATATGGTTAGAAGAACTGTCTGAATCCCTGGAGAGCTGCTGCTGCCACCAGTCCATGTTGACAATGCTGAGCAAGATGGACCACTGATCTGAATACAGTCAGAATAAGGTGTCCTTCTGTCTGACATGGTGTGTAGGAGGGGCCTGAGCCCTGACCTTTTCAGACAGCAGGTGGAGACTTTTATTGTGGACAACATTCACAGAGTAGCAATTAACCTTGGTTCCAGATTTTACAGTGCTCCTGGGAAAGATGCCCTCAATTAAGTGTATCTTGTCACCACCATCGTCACCACCTGTTGCTGCTCTTCACTGGGCAACTTTGCACATAACAACAAGCCACTCTGAGCCACTATGGGTGAGTTGTTCTGAAAACAACCCATGATGCACAAACGATTGGGCTTATCTGGAGTTGCTTGCTAACTCCCTCCCCCTTGCCCCTCCAGTCGATGTTCCAGGGGACACCATGGCAGAACCGAGTTTTCTCTCACTCCATGCCTTGACAAGAGCAGTTTTTGGCTGCCCACAGCTTTTTGGCACTTCAAACTATTTTTCCCCTCAGAGATTGCAAAAGTCAACACTCAAGCCAGCTTCTGCAGTTCCTGTTTGTAACAGCCATTTGTTGTCTCCTCAACGTGCCCAAGCAGCACCTTTGAAGAGCTGCCATAGTTGCAAACATTAAATGTATAGAGTCAGCTGTAAAATTAATAAACTGAGCAAGAAATTATCACTTTTCTTCTTCAGCAGGCATTGAATATTTAATCTGGCATTTAGATATGTACATGCTGAGTGGATCTCTCCAGGAAAGCCACTGCAAAGTTAGGGGCCATGACAGCGAGGTCTTTTTCCCTGGCAGCCTCCATCACAAAATCATGGTTGGAAACATCCAAAGATGACCTGGGCAAATGGACAAGGTCCATGGGAGAAGGCATTTCTTCACAGAGGCTCCTCCTAAGCTGTGTATGGCTGTATTGGCCGGCACCTACACTTTCAAGATACATCATTTTTAGCTGTTTCGGATCCTCATTACTGGAAGAGGCAAGAAACAGTTCTTCAGATCTTCCTTTCTGTTCTCATTTTCCGTGTCACTTCCCTGTTTTTCTGAGGTCCTCACATGAATCCAAAGGGACTGAATAAGCCTCAGCTTAATTCTATGTGGGGTTGGGCATGCCAGAACATGTGGATTTCAGTGGGGTGGAAGGCTGGGTTGCCCAATGTAGTGTTATGTACTTCGATAAGATACTTGGCTTTGGACCAGCCTTACCTGGTCTAGAACCCCCCAGGTGTTTTAGACTACTAATTCATATTGTCCCGGCTAGAGTGACAAGTGGGCAGGAATTATGAGAGCAGTCCCAAACCCTGGGAAGGCCTCAGACTGAGAAAGTCAGCAACAGACTGAGATTCAGCTCAGCTTACCTCCTGGCTGTAAAGCTGTAATGGGGAACAAATCTCCATCCCTCAGGTCTGCCTACCTCCATGGGGTTGTTGTGGGTATTGAACTCAGGCATGCAGCCCTAAACAGTTTTGTAGGAAAACTAAAATACAAACTGATAATAACCTGGTAAGAAAAGAAATAAAATAATGGAAGCAAGTTTGCTTGGGAAAATGAGCAGCTTCCCAGAGGCAAATATTTAGCCAATGGGAACAAGATGCTGGCTAGATGGATCCAGCGCAGCTCTTCCTATGTTCCTAACCAGTACCTCATGAAAAAGGGTCTCCTTCAGAATTAACTCCCAGCAGACAGATTGAGGATAATGTACCTTAATCCCTGATTTCTTATTATTTTGGAACATCGGAGGTGGGAGGACAAGAACAATACCAGCCAAGAGCCGAAATGGGTATAGAATGAAAGACTCACAGGCTGCAGGAGCTGGGACTCGGTCGTGATGGAAGGAATGAAAGGGACAGATGGTGACGGGCGTGCTGAGAAGCCAGGAGGATCTGAGTGCAAGTTTGTCCTTCTTTCTGGTGCAACGGGTCGCTCTTTATTTATTTCCCTTTCTTGTTGACGGCCCTCCCGAAATCATAAAGGATCCGGAGGTTCCTTCACTGAGACCCTCCCTTTACTCACTGCTGTCTACCCAGAACTGGTGCCACCTGGAAGCAGCGGGAACAGACGCTGCTCACTCGCTCCCACGCCCGCCACTGTCCCAACCACTTCCAATTTCAAATCCCAGTCTTTCCTCCCAGCGGGACCACCATGCCACCGTTCAGTCTACCGCCAGGCCACCACTCCAACGCATAGCTCTCCGACCGGAGCAAAACAAAAATCTTCCTTTCACATTTCCTAATCGCGCTGCAAGAAGCCCCTCCCAGTTCGCAATGGGAGCACTGGGAAAAAAAAGGAGGCCACGAGTGATGGGGACCGGGAGACACGGGAAGCGTTCCCTTCTCACTCCCCCCGTCCCCTTTTATTTGATCTTTTTATTGCTTTTGCAAAACCCGCTTAGTCCTCGTCCTCCCCCATCGGCGCCCCAAACCTGCGCAGCTCCTGCTCCGGCACCCTCCATGGCCTCGCGCCGCGGCGGCAGCAGAAGAGCCGGCCCCGCGCTGACGTCACGGCCACGGAGAGAGTAAAGGAAGGCGGGGGGAGGGAGCGGAAGCCAGTTAAAGGGGCCGGAGCATCACGGCGCCCGGCTCAAACAAAGGGCGAGGCAGGCGGGCGCTCGCAGGCGCGCTCGCAGCGCCCCGCGGGTCCCCGAGACGGGCCGGCACCGGGAACGGTGCTGCTCCCCCGCCCCTGGAAGGCAGGGCGAGAAGGGCGCCCGGGGGGACGCAGAGCTCCCTTTCGCAGCACGCTGCCTTCCAGGCACGTTGGACCACAACGCCTAACGTATCTAGCCGGGCACGCGGGGAGCTGCTGCTTGGAGTTTTTTTAAATATTAATCGATGTATGAATATTAATCAAGAATACTAAATAGCAAGCGGAAGGCTGGGGCAGAGCGTTGAGACTGCCTGTATGTGGGGGCGTTTTGGGACGCCCCCTGTTGAGCAGAAGGCGGATAGGAACACAGTTGCCTGGAAAGCAGAAATATGGGTTGAGTGTGGTCGTTAAACCATGGTTGTTGCTGAAATGTGGTTTACCCTGTTGTTTGAGCCCATCTGAGATAGCAAACAGTGGGGAACAACCCACAGTTCGTAACTCAACAAGCCATGGGCTGTTTTAGTAGATTTATAGAAGGGAAGCTAGAAGGGGCCAGAGTCCAACCCTCTGCTTCTCTTCCACATGTGGTCATCCATCCAGCTGCAGGCCTGCACCTTTTCAGCTTAGCAAACATGATTCGACATACTAGCTCTGTGTATAGCAATGCAGGCAAGCATGAATTGTTTGTGGTTAACAGGCTATGGTTAGCACAGCTGAATTCAGCCAGCATAACAACCTACATTTCAGCAGCCACCCAGGGTTCAATGCCAAGCCACACTTGGATGTGTGAAAGCCTAGGAAAGAAGAAAAAATCAGAAGAAACCCCGAAAATTATTCTTTTTTCCTAGCCCTTCACAACTCCACCTCTACTCAACCCTTTATAAACTTGTCTTTTTATGTTTAAGAGGTCTAAACATGTATACAGCTATGAATGGCATTATGGGAAGGATTTCCCATCTCTTGTACTAGCAAAACTCAGGAGTTCATCTAATAAAGTCAATTAGGATCAGGTCTAACAGGGTACACCCTGTTACTGGAAGGAGGGGTGAAAACTACTTGCTTTATGCAGCCTTTTTCAGACTGGTGTCCGTCAGACTTCTGGACTTCAGCTTTTGTTGGCCTCAGCCAACATGGCAAATGGGCAGGAATTCTGGATGTCGTAGTGCGAAATTCCCCAAGGACAGTAAATACCCCATCCACTGGTCCAAGCTATGCCCACCGGAATGCAGCCCCTTCTCACAACACCCACTGTGGCCGTGAAGGGACAAATGGTTGCCTGCTCTATGCAGAGAGGTGGTATAATGCTGAATAGCAGATATGAGGGGACTAGCAAGGGATACTGCATGAAACCACAGGGTTTTATGCCCTTCTAAGCTCTGTGCAGAGTATGAAGATGGGCTAAACAGATCTTTTGTTGGGGAGGCAAGTTTTTCTTGTGCCTTATTTCTCACTGTCTTCCCAAATCCTCTCCCTTCAGTGCAGCACTCCATTTACTTTTATACAAAGGTTTTCCATGGAGGTTTCCTATTCTTCCAAACTGAAGATGCAACACAGAAATTTTGCTCTGCCTCCCCACTGGTTCAATTCAACAGCTCAAAACAATAACAACACGATTATGTTGGGTTTTATTTTGCTTTTTATTTTTTTATTTTTTAGAAAAAAATCATGAAAAAAACCCAACACTAGTTAGGGTCCAAGGGATCAGAGTCAATACTGCCTTGAGGAGTTAAAAAAAAAATCCCATTTCCCATTGTTGCCTCTGGGACTAATTCCAGGACTGTGAGGACTCCATATAGGTTGTCATTTTTGGTACTAGGTCCAGAATACAGCAATCCGGAGAATTTAATTTCCAATCTTTTTTAAAAGGTAATTTCTAGCTCTTGATGTTTGAAAGGATGCAGGCAATGCCTGCTGACATCTCGGAAACCAGCACTTGGCTTTCATAGGCAAACATTAAGAATTTATTACCTGCCATAGCTCTTTCCCACTCCCAATTTTCATTAGCAGAATAAACCAGGGACTGCAAGAAATGGATGTGCCCATTTGGGTTGATGTGTGCCATCTCTATGGGTCACACGATCCAATTTTTCAGGATTTTTTTTTTAGTACAAAGGATACATTTCTCTGTGTGCGCGCGCGCACGTGTGTGCATTTAAACTTACAAAAGTTACTGGCCGGCTAAAAGGCTGTCAGTCTTCACTGCCATTACCAGCTGTGGAAGAATGGAAGGAAGGCCAAACCTCCCCTTCCATGGCTAGAGGAGGAGACGGATAGGAAGAGAGCCTTCCAACAAGCGAACTGGTGTGGGGAGAGATGAAACGATTCATCCCTCCCCCATCGGGTTCAGTCTACATGCCTGCATGGAATTCTTGAATGCTTCTTGAACCAGGCACATCGCTAAGTACACAGTAGTGCATAATGCTCCCTCAAAGACAAAACAACTCACATCCCTCGTCTGTTTGCCCTTCTGTAAACTGAAGCCAACATTATGAGCAACCATGTTGGGTTAGAGCAAAAGCTTGAGAGAGTCCGGCATTCTGTTCGCATGGCCTGCCTGCAAAAAGCCCATGAACAGGCAAAGAGCACAAAAATGCTCTGCCACATGTGTTTCCCAGCAATTTGTAACGCAAAGGGATGCTGCCTGATACCAAAAGCAGCAGGCAGTCCTCAGGACTGGAAGCCATGGAGAGCCTTATCCTCAGTGCATTTGTCTAAGCGCCTTCTAAAGTCGCTCAACATCTTGTAGCAGTGCATTCTATTTTCACAAGGCAATCCGAGGAGCGTACTAGCACACTCATTCTGCTTGTGGGCCTCCCATTAGTACACTGTGGTGGAAAGCAGGATGCAGGTTGAGATCAGTCCTTGGTCTGCTCCACCGGGTTATGGTAGCTACTTTGCACACCTGGCTCTGGCTGGTGGACTCTGGAGGTAGCATCCAATGCGACATGCATGCCAACGTAAGGTACCTTGCACTAGCATAGCAAACAAGGCTTAGGTGGAACAGCAGCCTTTCTAAACTGCAGTGTAATTCATGCAACCAGTTGCGCCGCATTGGATTCTGCCCTGGCATCTGAGTTCTGCAAAGGCAGATTCCAGAAACCTGACACCTCTCTAACCTACTCTCTGTACCATGCTTCTTTATTTTAAATGATGTATAAATAAGGGTGCAATCCTATGCAAGTTTCAAGAGAAAAGGGGCTTACAGCTCCCAGTGCAGCTGGCTGTGGCATTCTGGGAGTGGTATCAACTTGCATAGAATTGCACCTTAAAAATAATTACCTGTGTTGGTCAACAATCCACACCGAGTTTCTGAAGTATTTCCAATTTCCTGTAACGTGTCTGCTCTGTGCTTAAAAAGAAAATCCATGTATTCCAATGGGAAATCAAATCATGTGATTTTTAAAGAATGGGTTGACTTTCTGAATAGCTTTCATTTATTTTGCTTCTGTTATTCTGAAAAAGGGGCAAGGAAATCTGTGCTGGAAATCTCACTCTCTGAACCCTGCTCAGTGGTCCTCTGGCTTCCAAGGCTCCAGTCACTGATCCCACCGTTCAAGAACATGTTCGTAGCCATGGGGACTAGAAGCCTCCTTCTCAGTTCCTAAGTTAAAAGTTATTTTGCACAGTATAATCATAGAGATGCCCTGTCATCTCCCTTAACCATTTGCCTTCACATTCCTGTCACTTCCCTCAGTTTACTGGCCTCTTAGTACTTGGGTAAAATTGCACCCCATGCCACTAACCAAGCCTAGCGGGCTTCTGAAGTCAAACTACACAGTAGCAACTCTCTTTGCCCAAAGAGTTCTGGGGTCTGACTCTCAGGACAAGCTCGCACGGTAGACGGAGGTTGCTGCCAACTTCCCTTTCACTGTTACAGTCACAGAAAGGTTTGGAGCCACACGCAGGCTCATTTGCGGGCTTCTCGCCGAACCTCCGAGCTCAGCCCACGAAGAGTTAAACGGAAAGAAACAACAGGAGGCCAGGAGAGAGGCGGCAGGTCTATGGTGGCATTGGCCAGGTCTTCCACTGACTGCCGTCGGGTCGCCCCCTCTGCCAAGGGCCATGGGGTTTTATGGAATTTTTCGGTTTCTTTGGCTGTGGAGACAAAGTGAGGTCCCATCCATGCTCCTTAAGTGGGGGAGGTATTTAAAGTCCCGTGCATCTCCCCACAAACAACCCAAAGGCCACGATCTCACATCTGCTTACTCGGAAGTCGGAACTACCAGCATCAGCAGGGCTGGACCTCTGAGGCAACATACACAGGACCGGGCTTTGAAAAGAGGTAGCGGTTTTTGTTAACGGGGTGTTGGGGGCAAAGGGACAGGAACTGTGAAGGAAGATAATGAACAGCAGGGGTCCCGGTCCCGTATCCCACGGCCCCCTGCTCTGACCGACCAGATCCCCTTTGCCTCTCAGACAATCAGGAAGCTTACTTCCCCGTGCCCTACTCTTTTTCTAATCAACTAACCCCACCCTCCCCTACACCCATTCCACAGAACCTGGGAGTTCCATCCCTCTAGTATACTAGATGCTAATCCTATCCCAAGAATCTCGGGGGCCCTGGCTCGCCACACCCCTACATTCTAGCCACTACACCCCGCTTCCCCCCCTCTGAGCTCAGGAGCCTCCCCTCTTCCACTTCCATCACTACCATCTCCTCTTCCTCCTCCTCCTTCAGCGTATGAGGACATTGATCTCGGTCACGCTGGCTTCCATGACGTTCTCCGCCGTGGTCTTGCCATGCTGTTCCTTGAGGTGGCGCCGGATGGCCGGTTTATGCGCAAAGCGGACGTCGCAGTAGGAGCAGCGGTACGGCCTCTCGCCACTGTGGAGGTTCATGTGGTCGTGAAGGGTGGACTTCTGGGTGAAGCACTTCCCACAGATGGTGCAGGAGTGCGACTTGACGCCACGGTGGACATTCATGTGGCGGTTGAGGTTGCTGCTGTGGTTGAACTGCTTGCCACACCGGGGGCACATGAAGATGAAGTGGTGGGCCCGCATGTGGAACACCAGCTTCTCCACCCCTTGGAAGACCTCCTCACATTTGGTGCAACGGATGATCCTGGAGACACCACCACTGCCGCCACCCCCAGCCATTCCCGAGCTGCCCCCTCTCCCCACTGCAGGAAAGGTGGAGAAGGGACGCCCACTCAGTCCCGCCAGCACCAATCCCATCCCGCCAGCACTGCTCTGGCATTCAGCAGCAACAGCTGCTGCCTCACTGGTCTCCTCCAGGTAGCCTCCGCCAGGGATAATAAGGAGGCCTTCACCCTCCGCATCCTCAGAGAGGCTGTAGGAAGCCTTCACCACACCATGCTGGGGCTTCTCCGGTGTGGATTCAGGAGAAGAACTCATGGTTTCTGCCACCGTAGAGTTGACCTGAGGTTCTTCCTGGTCTCCGGATCCCTCTTTGTTCCACCCAGGCGGGGGAGAAGATTCTTTGCCCCAAGCTTGTTGGGGAGAGGTTTCCTTGCTCCAGCTTTGCTGGGGAGACATATCTTTGTTCCAGCCAGTGCCAGTGGTCTGCTGCTGCTGTTTCTTCTGCCGCTGGGCCACCTCCATGGCAGATTCGATTTTCACAATGCAGATGTCTGAAACAGCATCCTCATCCCCATAATCCTCTTCCTGTTCCTCATCCTCATCTTCTGCCTTCATTTCCAGCTCTTCCTCTAGGGGGAACTCCAGTTTGACGGGCCTTTGCAGGGATCTGCCAACCACAAGGACACAAATCGTCAGTGCATTCACGGGGAAATCCGGCTGAGAGACGGCTGATGTATACCGAGTTAAAGCCAGCCTTGCTCCACCTAGTATCCTTCAGATGCTTTGGACTCCACTTTCATTAGTCTTAGCCAGCATTACCACTGGTCAAGGACTGCTGGGGTTGTTGTCCAAAATATCCGGAGAGCACCAGGTGAGGAAAATTTTACCTAGTCAAATACTACTCATTCCAAATTGTTTGGCTGTAGCTCTCCAAGGTTCTGGGGAGCAGCATCCTTTGCAGTACTAATGCCTGTGATTCTCTGAGGTGGCAAAGTCAAGAACTTAATGCAAAACCTCCCATAGGAGCATGAGGGTCTCTGTTCCCCAGCTATATACTTGTCCTCACAGCCACGGATTCAAATTAATTCTCTGAAGCAGAGGGAGGCAGAAAGGAGCTCTTCAGAGGCTTTGGATGTCAACACTTAGCATTACTGACCGCTGGCCACGCTGGCAGGGCTGCTGGGGTAGAAGTACAAAGCATTCCACTCACCCATGCCCTGCAGTAGGCATATTTCAATCACCATTTATAAGTCATGCGTATCATGTTTCAGACCCCATTCCAGTCAGAGCCAGAGATCTCTGACTGCAGCCAGATGTCCCGGCTTCCGTTAGAAAGGAGAAAACTGAGAAGACACACATGAAATGGCCACAGTCCAGGTGCCTCAGGGCTACTTTGCAGATCAGCATGGCCGGCTCCAGAGGAGAGCAGATGAGGTCACAGGCCAAGGCTGTGCAACTGGCAAGGAGCCTACTGAGATCACCAGATCTGGAACAGAAGCTTCAGGTGAAGGGACTCCCATGTCTTACTCTTAGTGACAACTGTGTACTATCCCAAGCTGATGCCCTTGATATTTTGGGCTTCAACTCCCATCAAACCAAGCTGGGGTAGTCTAATGTACTAATATTTTATAGTGGCTACTTTACAGATTTCTTCAGGGGAAGCCTTCCGTATGACTTCAGTCGTATACTACGAACTACTAGCAGTTCATCGCCTTTACCAGAACTTTAGCAGACTTTCTCTGTGAGCCCCTAGCAAAGTCAGGTGTGTGCCTATGAAAACGGGCTTTTTCTGTTGCAGCATCCCAGCTGTGGAATAAGCTCCCCAGAGAGGCTTGCTTGGTGCCCATGCTGCACTCTTTCTGCCATCTCTATTTTCCCTGGAATTTTAGCCTTTCCGTTTCTGTTGCAGTAAATCTTTTACTGGATTTTTAAATCTTTGCATTGTTGCTAAGACTTTGGCTTTTGCTTCTAATTTATGCTACACTTTTAAACTTTATAGTGTATTTATAATTTTACTTGTTGTGACCCACCTTGTTGGATGGCTATAAAAATGTAATATATAAATTATATATCCACAGTGAAGTCTAAGGTCTTCTTTCAAGCTATAGCATTCTGACATGCATAAGCTTTGGCAAGTCCTTACACCTTTTTTCGGCCTGGCAAGGTCCTTGAATTTGTGCCAGAATTGGTGGTGACAAGATAGTGTTTAATATTAGTCAATTGAATTCAGAATTTTGGTCTTTAAAATGTGTGCATACAAGTGTATGTTTATCCATATATTATGTCTGAACTCTCTATAATTTATAGCAGAATGCCTGAAGCTTGTGTTAATTATCATTCTATCAGACCTGTTAGAAATTATTTCTTTTCATTCATTAGTTGAACCCAAATAATGTGCCAAACTGGTGCCTTGTTATGTCCTAGGTAGCAGGGTTCACCTGCCCAGCTGCTTAATGATCAACACTACTGACTTATATCTACTGTTTCAGGTCAGCTTATTTGCTGTTATTAGCATTTTACTCTTCTGTCCTTATTTGCCTGTATTTTATATCCAATCTGATTTTATATCCAATCATTTAGTTTTCCTGTGTTTCACCTTTACCATGCCCTTAAACCAAAAAGTGGGGTGCAGAAAATAAGCAAGTAGCAACACTGATGTGGAACACTGTCTTTAGTGATTCCTTCAAAAGGTGGAAGGAGCTATTTTTCAAGAAGTATTTGACATACGCCTTGGCTAGATTGCACGAGTCGTCTCGTAGAAGACTCTTTAGAGAAGCCCATTTTCACTCCACTGAGGGGTACTAATACCAGGAATACAAGCACGGGTGAGCTTAAAGCTCTATTCCCAGTGAGCAAGCCTCGGCAAAGTATTTTAGCCTTTGCAAATGGGGGCGGGGGCATGCACAAAATCCAGGCATCGCCAGATGTGTTGGCCCTCGGCATTCTGACGATTAGCCATTCTAGTCAGGGCTGATGAGAACTGAAGTCCCAAACATCTGAAGGGCATCAGGTAGGCAAGTCTGCACCAAAAGAGCAATGGCTGGGGGCCACTTGGGGATCCCTACAAGGATGGATCAGGCCTGCTGGCCTAAAGATCTGTACCCCTGACATAAATATATAAGCACCTTAAGACACAATCTTATGCATATGAAAGCCCTATGGCTATATAGCTCCCAGCTATACAGTTGCAGGCCTTTTGCATGTCTAGACTTCCCTAGGATTGCATTCTTAATGTGTGAAAAGTGTCCATTTGGCCATGCACATGTGTTTGGAAGCTAAACCACACCACATATATTCTTTTACCTCATCTCCAACCCGACAGTCTATCTTTCTATGGAAGGAAAACATCTGCACTTGTGAAAAACAACCCATAGGCTTGAATCCTATGACCCACATCACTGCCCTGGTATTTGATCTTCCGGTGTGTTTGAGGATACCCGAACAGAGGGTGAAACACATGACCAAGCACAACCATTGCAAGGTGGCAACAGGCAGTTTGGCAACACAGCAAAGCTGTGATTCATGTGGCGGCCACATGAATCACCTCCAGGACACTGCAACTGTGTTTGTGGATTCTAGATCAGAGATTATATCTGCCTTGACCACATTTCAGGATGCATCACGGCAAGGGCAGGTGAACCAGTGTTTATAGTTTGACCAAACAGGCTAATAAAAATGAATAAATGTGCATTGAGTAGACAGTGAGATTATTTCTCCAGCTGCCAGGAGATGGTGCTATGGCCCTACTTGTCTGCAATATTCCTTACAACACAGTTTACAAGATACCATTAAGAACAATCTTTAAATTGCTTGCCTTGGTCGCCTGTGGCGGGTAAGAATCACCTCCAGGCGACCAGGCAGGAAACCTTGACAAAAGTTGGTTCTGTTTTGTTTTTTCCTTTAAGGAAGGAATTTGACTAACATGGAAATGCATACTCAAGAGGGTTTGTAACTTTTGTGACTTATTGGCAAAGATTGGAGGAACATGGGATTCTTCAGCAAACCTCTTGCGCGAATGTTCTTTGCGGGATGAGGTAGAGCAGCCCACCACACTGGGGGACTTGGACCGCCGGTGGCCTCCAAACTTCGCTGTTTCTTCCTTGAGGCTGATCTTGGGCTCGATGAACTGGGACAGGGCGTTCCGACACTTCTCCACCACATGCTCCATCTGCAGGTAGCTTGCTGCAGTCAGATAGTTGACTATGTCCCTGACAGCAAACTCCAGGGCGCCTGTGTAGCAAGAGAGGAGAAGGTCGGCCACAATCTTGGCACTGTGCATGAGGGAGACCTGGAGTTCCGAGGAAGGATTGAGGAGGAACTGGTCCCTCAGGAAAGGGGAACAGGCGGCCAGGATAACCTTGTGACCCCGGAACTTGAGGCTATCGGCCACGATGGTAACATCACAGAAGCGCTCCTCAGAGCGGAGCTGGTTCATGTTGCGCAGGGTGGCCGCTTCGTGCCCTGGGAGCTGGAAGCGGAGGAGCTCCACACCAGATGCCATTGGTTCTTTCAGGATGCAGAAGCCAGTCAACACAAGGGATGACGGAAACTGGGCTGGAAGAGGTGAAGGCTGGAGGGATGATGGGAACAGGCACTGCAAACAGAGAGGACAAAGATATGAGTCTGAGACTGTATCGCTTTAGTGCCTGTGGATAGAGAATCGCCACCGCTGCAGCTCGCACAGTGACCCACCCTTTCTCCTTTGCAGTTTTTGCTGTTCAAGTCTTCCAAACGTGATCAAGTTCACATCACTTTCACTGCTCTGTCCCACACAGTTAATTATTGGGTGCTCCAAGTGCCATCAGCAAACAAGCTAAAGGCACATTAACAGCACAACCCCCTGCATGTTTCCTCGAAAGGTGAGCCCTGCTGTGTGGGTGCAAGCTAAAATATACTAGGCCAGCAGAAGTGTGAGCCATTTCAGTCCCAGGCATAGAAGGCTCCCAGAAGGCAAGACCTTTCCTAATGCTCCTGCTCTGCCAAAGAAGCAGGTCTCCTGCACAGGTACAATTTAATCTGTACATTTAACCTCTTCCCCGCAAGTTGTTTCCTCAATGTTGTGAGCTGCCCCGAGGCTTCGGCAAGGGGCGGCATAGAAATGTTTTAATAAATAAATAAATACATAAATAAAAATAAGTTCTCAGTTTCAATCCACATCCTTGTCTCACCCCAACCCTGTTCTGATTCAGTCTGATACAGATTGCCCACTTTGATTTTCTTAGGACTAATCTAAGAAAATGTTGGATCAGATGAAGGGTTGCTCTAGCTCAGCATCCTGTTCATGCAGCGGGCAACCAGCTGCCCACAGAAAACCCACATCGGGGGCACAAGCGCACCAGCACCCCCCCCCAACATCTCCCAGCAAATGATGTCCACCAGGGTACTGCCTCCAATAACAGGGGGTGGGGGGAGCATGCGGCTTGCCAGCTGTGGTAGCCATTAATAGACTTCCCCTCCAATCCTCTTTTAAAGCCCTCCACATCGGTGGCTACCACCATATCCCGAGAAACTGAAATCCACCGCTTAACTAGGCGCTGTGTTGAGCAGTCCTTCCTTTTAGCTGTCCTGGTCTCTCACCAAAGCTAGACTGCGGCCTGCTGAGTCTTTCATTTATGGTGCTGCTGCCTGGGTCATCCTGTTGCAGCAACCTTTTAGAAACAGGAATTTGGTGGGTCATTCACAACTGAACTTCACCTATTTGGGTTGGAGGGAACAAATCAATACTGTGCTACCAGCTGCACCCAAATGGATCACAGCAACAATGTAGAACAAAGCCAGATGAAAGCAACTCCTCTTCTACTGTGGTGGTAGTGAGTGGGCCACACCATCTTCGTGTTTTTATTGGTTTTAAGTGCCCATCTGAAGAGACAGCACTTAGAGAAGGCCTTGTGTTCCAGTGTATTTGTTCAGTGTGTGAGCTGCCCAATAGGCAAAGCCTCTCAGGGGGACATAACAAAAGGAAATGCAAATCAATGATAAAATCAATAATGAAACACAACTGTTTTAAAAGCAGAATAAATAATTCAAGAAAAAAGAGATGCATAGGCAACCTGCTAAAACATGGAGAAAGAGTTTTTAAAATGTGTTAAACATTTTATAAATATATCAAGCAGCAGTTAATAATTCTTTTTAAAGGCCTACAAGAATAACAATATCTTGGCCTGATGCCCTAACGCCAACAAAGTAGGTGGACTTCTTTAGGGGAGGCATTCTGGCTTGAGAACCACCACAAAACAAAACAAAACTTTTCAGGAGTAGCCAGCCAGCAAATCTGAAGAGGTGCGGGTACTGGAAGCAGTGAAAGCTCATATAAATGATTATTCCTTAGGCACATCTGGGGAGCAGAGGGATCTCAGTTCAGGGAAACAGCCCTTCACAGGCAGACTGCCCAGCGTGGCCAGGGAGGGGTGGAAAGGACGCCACCCGAGATCCCAAAGAGCCTCTGTGAGTTATTGCCGACAGCAGTGCATTGGCCAAGGAGGGGCTCATCACAAGGCAAGTCTGTATATATTAACATGCATCTCTGGCCAGGTAACTGATCTGACACACCTGACCCAGTCATGCTGTCTTGGTAAACAGAGTTACTGAGCGGTGCCCGTTCGCATCAAAATGTGGCCAGCAATGCACATCTTGCTGAAAACAATGTGCTCAGGACAGCCAGCATCGACCCTCACAGAGGCATTAGATTTATGCCTGTGGTTTTGGCTCTTCACCCTGCTCACAGAGGGATGTCTACTTACCTCTGTGCATCTCCTCAGCCGAACCAGAGTGTCTGGGCTCTTATACACAATTAATGGTGTCCACGGATAACCAGCCTTTCCTCTGAAAATAGTGCTCAAGGCATCAGGCCTTTGAACATCTCACCACTTATAATTTGAAAATTGAAATGATAGCCCTGGCACTTTGATGTGTTTAACTTTGGTCTGGAAGGCGCTACACTTTGGCTTGAACTACAAAGGAAACCCAGGACAGAAGTGTAACAGTTGATATCTGCATGCTGCTTGCAGCCTAGTCTTTCACAGAAGATGTCATGTAGATTCCCATGTATGTCTCTATTTCCCCTTTCACACATGGGAATGCTCGGCACTCTCTATGGGTTTGTTCAGACATCATGGTAAGCTATGGTTTTCCTTAACAGGAAGAAGCTGAGTTTCCTTCTTGACGGAGGTGCTCCCATATCACCCACACCCCCTCATTTGCCTGCAAGGAACCTGGAATTTTCTACTTCCATTTTAAGTTAACTGCAATTTCATGTGCCACCCAAATTCCAACTATGGTTAATCTTAACTATGGCTTAACTGAAATGAGCCTGATTTGTAAAACATGAACCGGCATTGCATGATACAACAAACGACCATGGATTACTTAACCCACAGTAAGGCTATAGCACATGCCTGGTGCCATTGTCCTATTCAAGTTTCCAGTGTGGCTTGCTTGTCATGTTGTGTGAACCAAGCCACTGGAATCAGGTTGTGCTTGGGTTCACAGGACAATCAGCAATCAGTTGGGAGCTGAATATGCAAAATGGTGGCTGGTATGTGCTATGGCACACCATGGGTTACACAAATCATGCTAAATGGTTTGTTCATGCAAACTGCTCTATAATTCGCATCTGTATGTTTCAAACAAACCAGGCTTAAGATTAACCACAATTCATTGGGTTTGGATAACGCTAAAAGTCATGGTAAAAAATCCTGAAACTGAAAGCTTCTATTGGGCTTGAACTCATGGCCACAATGGTGGAATAGAAGGTAACTTGGAATTCAAGTGTTAGGGACACATTTCTGTCAGGATAACCATGGGCTATCGTGACATCTGATCACATCCAGTAACTTTACTCTTCTTTAGTACAGTGCTGAAATACAATGAAACTTGTTTATCTAGCTTTTGTTACCAAACCTCAGTTCTTCCATTACACACCCCGTTTCATTTCAAAAGAGATAAAAGTACCTTCATTACAGAATTATTTTGTGCTTTTTTCCTATCTTTATGCATCCATCTCACATTTCAGCGGTTAGGATGGCTGAGCTGCACATTCAAGTATTCATGTGGAGGGAACCTGCCAGTGGAGGTACCATCCTAGTCCATGCTCCGTGTGAGATAAACACAGGTGCAGACATCAGGCAGGATTACCCCCATGCAAGTCAAAGCAGTTATCTGTTGCACAGAAATGGTGTGTGGAGAAGTCATGTTGAGAGAAAGCATGATCAACCACATGCAGCTTGTTACACTTCATGACTAAGTATAGATTTCACTGAAGGGCACACACCGGGAAGCAGAAACACACACGCACACAGCATCACGTCTGGTGATCTACACACAGGCAACACAATGTTCTCTCACGCGCACGTGCCTTCCATATGGAAAAGGCATAAGGAATGAGACGGCCTGCCAGCTATTTTCTCCAAATCCTCTTGTTCATCTTCTGCAAGCGCGAGAGCAGCCCCCGCTACTGCTGAGCTCGATATCCCCGTCGGCATGTGCAAAGCTTTCCACGCTGCTTCTCCCATGCACCACGGCGCACGATGATTTCCCCCCCAGTTGCTCTCCTCTCTCTTTTTGCGCGCTTCCTCAACATTCCCACGCGATCCGAGTCCTTTTCACACATTCCTTTCCCAGCCAGCAACCCCGATGAGCACACAGACGAACGGATCTCTCTGACCCCGTGCAAGCCCCCCCGCCGCCCGCCCGCCCAGCACTCCCATTCACAGCCGGATCCAAACAATGTGATCCCCACCCTCCACACGCCTCCGCTCCGGATCGCCGTCCCTCCTTTCCCCCTTCGCACGCTCCTTTCTTCCCGGCAAGCAGCCCAGGCTCAGACCGGGCGCGCCTCCCTGCCCGCTCACCCCACTTCCCCCCAGCCTCGCCCCCTCCCCACTTCTCACCTTGCACGCTGCTCCCCCTCTCTTGGAGGAGAGGGGGTGGCCCCAAATGGCCAAACAAGGAGGCAAAGCGAGAGAAAGGAATTAAAGGGGCCTCATTAAAGGGCCAGGCGGCCAGCAATGTGAGAGGGATATTTGCCAGCCACATAGAAAAAGGACAGAAAAGGGTGAATGAAAGAAGCGGGGGTGGGGGAGAAGCGGGAGAGGAATAACTTCACGGCGCCGCGGGGGAGTTGCTCATCCATGTGCGGGTCCTTTAACTCCACTCCCGCCTCCCCTTTAAGGCCAGTGATGTCATAACAACGCGCCCCTGGAAAGTTGGTGGGGGTATTTTTCCCGGCCTCCTCCAAATCACCTTGGCAACTAATCGCCCCTCCTTCCGAGATAGGTTTCGGCTTACAAAGAACTTTGTTTTTAAAAAGGGAGGAAAATCTTGGGGTTATGGAAAGCAGTATTGGTTGCAGAGAGTTCAAAAAGTGGTTGAACACGAACCTTGTCCTTAAGCTCTCTATGCAGCACTTCTAAAAAGTACACTTAGCACGCTCCAAGCACCAGATTGTGATTAAGGACAGTAGCCTAGAAAGAAGATTCATCACTTTGTGATCGTGGCTGAGCAATTGAGCCTTTTGTCGCTGCATAACAGCAGAAGTTCAACAGAAGCAGCTTTTCTCATCTCTTTAGCATCCTGCCTATGCCAGGAGGATCTCCAGCTGTTATTTATTTATATATATATATATATATATATATAAATCTCTCTCTCTCTCTCTCTCTCTCACTGGAGTGTCTCAGAAGCTCTGCTAGGAAAAAGAGAGCAATCCTATCTGAATTCCTTTTAAGGGCCTCATGTTGTCATCTTTTTCACTGACTGTTCCTGGGACTTCAGGAAAAAAAATCCATCATTGAAACAGATATAGAAACTTAGAAACAGAGTGAGTCAGAAAGGGCTTATTGGGCCATCTAGTCCGACCCTCAGCTCCACTCATGTAATGCCTAACATGTGGTTGTCCAATCTTTCTTTGAACAGCCTCATTGATGGGCCCTCAACTATCTCCCTTGCATCAGCATCCAGGACAAGGGCAGCTGATTGGCACACTGGAGCACTGGGAGCTGGGCAATTGGGGTGCAGCAAACAGGTCAGGCCACAAGTACAGTCACAAAGTCCAGAGCCAGGGGCTGCAACATTAGACAGTCTGTTCATGAACAAAGTGTAGTCAGACAAACCAGGCATCAGGAAACCAGGAAGACAAGCCAAAGGGAGCAGATACTTTGAGGGCTGGAGCAAGGCATGAGCAAAGTATGCGCCACCACAAACCAGGAGCACTTCAGGAAGACCTCCATTGCCAAGGCAGCTTCTAGGGAGACGAGCCAGTTCTTATATAGCTCTTCTCCCAGGGCTCCCTGGTGGAGCTCATAATTGCCCTGGCAGCTGCAGCAGACTGGGGTAGTGATGCTGCAACTACTGAGGCTGCTGTGCTGGTCCTTGACCAGTAGAGGGAGCACTGAGGCTGCCAAGGGTCCTGACACCTGTCCTGTGCTAGGTGTCCCTTCCCAAGCAAGACAATCACTTCCAGCACGTCTTATAAGAGGCTTTTATTCTACACAGGAAATCTAAGCATTCACAAGCCTCTGAGCTTACACAAGGAGAAGTGTTGACCCCTCTTGGCCCCTGTTTACTCAAAGTTCTGCTTATGAACCCTTCAGGGCTGGTCTCCTGAAGGTGGGGTGCTGTGAAAATGTGCACACCTGCATTCTGCACTCTGAGCCCCTAATTGGTCCAATCTGCGGCTGTGTGGGTGGGCCCTCAGGTCCATGTCTTGAGAAGGCTTGTGTTCTCCATCCAAGAGACTACCCAGTTTCATACCTCCCCCCTCCCATCCTCTGTCTGCCACAGGTGGGAGGGAGACTGGGCCCCATGGGTGTCCTTGAGCTACTTTCATCCAGAGCAGGCCTGTCAGTTACAACAATTATTCCATTGTCAGAGTGTGAGCTCTGAGCCCTTTCTGGTTCAGCCATTCCCACCTCATCCTCCGAGTCTGAGCTACCAGTCCCACCAAGACAGGCCATCTCTCATGCGCACCTGGAAATCTCATCAGAGTATGAGCACACGACACCACCTTGGAAACCCATTCCATATCCTAGGGGTCCTAACTATCAGGACGTCCTTCCTGACATCCAGCCTGAAGCCTGGTTCCTTGAACATATCCTGCCCTCTAATGCAGGGAAAGAGCAGGTCACAGCCCTCCTCCATATGACATACCTTCACATGCCTATAAGTTGCTAAAAGATCCCCTTGAAGTCTCCTCCAGGTTGAAAAGACCCAGTTCCCTCAGTCTCTCATCATATGTCATCTCTCCCAACCTGGCTGCCCTTCTTGTAACCCTGTGCTGAACCGATTCTAACCAAGCTATGTCTCTCCTATAATGTGGAGCCCAGAAATGGATGCAGTAATCCAATTGTGGGCACACCAGAGTCATGCAGAGCAGTATCAGCACTTCCCTAGATTTGGAAGCCACACTTCTGGCTATACATCCAAGGATGGCTTTTGCCTTCTTAACCACCATGTCACACTGCCGGTTGATGTTCAGCCTGCTGTTGACAAGTACCCTAAGATCCCTTTCACAAGTGCTGCTCTGCAGCCACTTGTCACCTAACCTGTCCTTATGACAGCTATTCCTGTGTCCCAAGTGCAAGACCTTGCACTTATCCACATTGAACGCCATCCTGTTGTCCCCAACCCATTTCTACAGCCTGTCCAGATCCTTATGGATCTGGATCACCTGCTCCTCAGTTGTGGCCACTGCCCCCACTTTGGTATCATCTGTGAATTTGTTCGGCAAACTGGTTAGCCCTTCTTCCATGTGTCCCATACCAACAACTGAAAAGAAATGGGACACAGAAAACTTGAAGGGATTTGTGTAATGCAATAAGTGAGAAGAAAGGGAGCAGGGAAGCCGAGAGTTCTTCATGTTGAGTCTAAGATAGTTGCATGTGGTCTGGATAGTTCATTTTGCTGTCTAAATGTTTGTTTAGTTTCATGGATGACGAGGTATCCCAAATGATAGCTTTTTCAGAAAATGTCTCTGAAAAGTGCTTCCAGATAAATGGATTATTGCACTGGCTATGAGAAGACATTGTGCAATGATGCCATCCTTTCTTTCTTAATAGATTTTCCATGGTAAGAGAAAAGAGAGAAGAAACAGTAAAAAAAGATGGGAGGATAACAAGTGAATTATATTCTCTGGACACATGCACTTGAAGAAAATGTGGTGAATGAGGCAGGGTAATAGCACTGTAAGACCCCTGTCTAGGTGCAGCCATGACTAGTGGAGGTATGCTGGGAATTTTAAGACTGTTTCTGTCTAAACATGCATACAATGGTGTCCTAAGTCTATACAGAGTAGGAAACGTCCTGCTTCATCTTACAGTTAGTCTTGATGTAAGGTTTTTCTGGCAGTGGCTCTTCTGCTCTGGAAAATTCTGTCAATGTCAGTTTACCTGCTTCCAACCATGATAGCTTTTAAAAGTTAATTCAAAATCATTCTGTCATCTGGGGTTCCTTCCTGCCTGGTGGACAAAATAGCAGCCATGGGAACTCTGGGAGAAAGTGACCATGCAATACTTGAATTCTCAATTATGAAAGTGACAAAGGTTAACTGTAGCCAAACACATTTCCTAGATTTCAAGAAAGCCAACTTTGACGAACTCAGAACAATAATAAGCCAAATGCCATGGCAACTTACTGTTAAGGGAAAAGGAGTCCAAGAGGGGTGGGAAATCTTAAAAAAGAAGATTCTCTAAGCACAACTACAAACAATTCCAAAAAGAAAAAATGTAAAAGACAACAGAAGAAGCCCACATGGCTCCACAAAAAATTAAGTGACAGCCTGGAAGGAAAAAAGAACATGTACAGGAAGTAGCAACAGGTCCTGGACACAAAGGAAGAGCGTAAACAAATAACAAGGAATTGCAGGGATGGCATAAGGAAGGCTAAAGCAGAAAATGAACTGAGATTAGTGAGGGATACTAAGGAGGTGCTCAATTCCCACTTCGCCTCAGTCTTCTCCCACAAGAAAATCTACAACCAAGAGGAAGTACAAGCTGAGTGTGAGAGATGGCAGCCCAAGATTGACAGACAAATGGTCACAGAATACCCAGATGGAATAAACATTTTCAAATCTCCAGGGCCCCATGAACTCCATCGCAGAGTCATAAGAGGAGGAACTCTCAGAACCACTGGCTATTATCTTCAATAAATCTTGGAAAACAGGAGAAGTGCCAGACGACTGAAGAAGGGCTAATTGTGTCCCCATCTTCAAAAAGGGGAAAAAAGATGAACCTGGGAACTACAGACCAGTTAGTCTGACATCAATCCCTGGAATAATTTTGTAGAAAATTATTAAAAATCAGTCTGCAAGCATCTTGCAGAAAATGCAGTGATTAATAGAAGCCAGCATGGATTTATCAAAATTAAATCCTGTCAGAGTAATTTAATTTTTTGACTGGGTAACC